CGGTAGTATGCACTTGAAAATGACTCACTCTTAAATTCTATTAGATTTCATTTAATTTTATTGCATTAATAAGCGCATACTGTAAATGCATATATATTTATGTATAATTGTATTAACAGAAGTATGGCTTCCTTCCCTCATAATTTTACTTTGAGTTTATGTATTTGACGCTCCTGTTTTTACGACTTTCTTTCTTTGGCTGTCTATCAAAAGGGTGATAAAATGCATCTGGGGTGGAGACTTGATGAATCATCTGTGCATCGAATGTTATATGGTTGCAAATGGTGTGGGTTATAAATTACGATTGACTTCCTTCGGAAGTGACAAATGCATTGGAAAAGAAAATCAAATATTTATATATACTATATGCAGATATATGTACATATATGTAGATATATATATAAATATTTTATTTACATACTTGTTATGAACTGCATATAACTGCATTCCATCCCATGACTTAATTATAGTTAAGTAAAAACCGATAAGCCGTTTCTAATTAAATTTTGCTTAAGTATTAGATTTCAAATGTAAAGTGAATTCTCTAAATAGCGGATGTTTGATAATGCAACCGTTACGGAAAAATCGATTTCGAGTTGAAGTATAGTTTTTCAAAAAAAAAATTTATTATAAAATTTTATAATCATAAAAATTACTACAAAGGTATAGACCAGCGCCGAATTCACATACCACACAATCTCAGAATAGCTACCTAAATTTTCAAAATGTCTTAAATAGCTGCAGTTATTTATTAATATTCACAAGTTTTGTTCGAAGTTAGTAGTTACAAAAAATTTAACCTACATATTAAGTTATTTGTATTTTCAAAATTGAAATATTTTTTAATATTCTTTTCTAGAATTTAGTAAAGAGTTGAAACACTAACTTGGTCGTAAAAAATAAAAACGGAATCATAAAACCAAATTTAAATTTGTTACGAAATTCTTTATAAATATTTTCCGAATTTTTGGAAGTTGGCAATTTTATCAGTAGTAACGACACATAGCAAATTTTCGGAATTTTCTGGCTAATTTACTTTCAAACTAATATCTCGGATTATGTAATTTAATATAGTTGAAAACCGCTTTAGTTTTGATGATTTGTTGGCAGAGACACAGTTTCTTTTGACTTCGTCACCCATGCCGAGCAAAAACTCCTTATAATTTTAATAATAAGCTCATCCACTGTTCTATAAAACTTAATGCTATACACAAAGAAACGGTCCGTCCTAAATATGTAGTGATAGTAATAACAGTAATTATTTTTCATCGATAAATTTTAATTCTTCCGATAATAAGATGTGCGTTGGAATAAGTTTCCAATTAAATTGTGTACTTAAGAGTTCGTTCACATGCACGGATATCCATCTTTCGGAAGTTGGTTTTATGTACAATAATGAAATATAATATAATATTAAAACTCGCAGCCAAAATATTGACCTCTAAAAACTACCTGTGCCACCATTACTTATTAAGGATTTAAAAATAAACATGACAACGGATGTGCGTTATAAATTATTTATGCAAGTCACATGCAATACTTATAATTTAAATGTACGAAGTATGTGGGAAGAGAATAAAAAGTAAAAAATATGAAAAATTATAAAAAGTAATTGAGTTTGTAAATGCTCATACTCGTTTACATATATACGTACATGTGCATATGTAAATAGAAGTATGTAGGTATAATAACCTACAGTTGTATAACTTTGCACAGCATTATTAAATTTTTTTTCTGAAAGTTTGCTGACAACTTTTTAAACAACAAGTCATATTGTAGGATTGGTTAAATTAATTGTTTTATAATTTTAGACTTATAAATAAATTATATGCATAGTGCTTGTACTTTTCTTGCGCATCTTGTTGTTATCCAGCAAATGGAGAGCTCCGAACAGCTCTTTGACTTTTTGAAGAAATTTTTCACGGCAGAAATAATTTGCCGTTATGTTACCTGCAGATCTTTATTGTATTTTTTCTGTAAATTTTTATTTAATCTTATATTAAGTTTTTGTGCAATTGGCCTAAACATTTTTTTTCTTACTCGATTGTAAACCGAGCAAAATATCTTATACTGAAAAAACGAAAATTTTCACGAAATTGCGAATGTAGAATGTAGGCCCATAAATACAATTCTCGTACAAATTTACTACAGCGAGAAAAAAGTAAATAATACAAAAATGCAACCAAATAGTGAATGTGGATTTTTGATCTCTGAGAATTTAATTACAAAGCTAGTATCCATTCGATTCTTAAACAAATCGGATCATAAATACAATTCCCTTAAAAATATACTACCGTCTCATCTAATTAGTTTAAACTTACAAAACACTTCCCATGTGCCTATTAAGCTGTGTTGAAAATTTCAGCAAATTCGGTGTAATGGTCTCCATGTAGTTTTTATGTATCGATATATACATAGTAAAGTAAAAGAGGGGTACTTAAGCGGGTTTTACTGTATACCATAAGAAGGGTGTAAGATTAAACTTGTTCCCACATCTTTTCTTGGCCAGACTTGTTTGAGGGGGAAGTGCCCGAAGACGGTTCAAAATATCAAGGTATATGCTCTAAAAAAATAATGCGAAATTTTCAATTGTTTTTTTAATTTGTTGAAGATATCACACTTGAAAGTGGTTGGCGGGGAGGCGGCCGACCTTTAACTTTAAAACTATTCTAGATAGATTAAGGACATAAAGAAAAAAAAATTTCGACGATTTTTTAACAAGACATAGTCTTTTTAAGTCTAATTTTCATGTTCAATGAGCGAATTTCTTGAAGGTCGTAGTCTATCTAGGATACAAAATCCTCTCGAGCGAAATAAATTTTATGATTTCAGATGCAAATTATAGTTAGGATCTTATGTTTTTTTATTCTTTAAATATTGCTTTAAATATAATATATATGATATCAATTTTTCGGCATCTACGGGTACTTCCACAACCATACTCAAATATTTAACAAAATTCACAATATTTCTGGTTAAAATATACCAGTAGCAAAGCGGATAACGGACCAATCTGCTATGATCTCGTGGTATCAGAGGTTCCATATTTATAATATGCGTGAGACAACTTAAAATGTAAGATTTAAAAGTGGATCTTCATTTAAAGCCATGCAAAAATTATGAGTAATCAAATCATACATATGTATGGGCATACATATATCCATTTCGATTTCCTGCCCTCTTTGCATATATATTTAAACTATATACTTTTATATTTATTATTATATGTATATGCTTGATTAACCATACGAAGAAATACACTTACGCCTGAATTTATGAACATACCAGTATGTATGTACATATATCTATGCAAATATAAGAAAGGCCAATGGCCGGCCAAAGGATGGTTCACAATATTCGTACCTACTTATTTGATTATAACGTACAAAACTACATATTATTTGTTGTTATTTCGCTACTAGTCTCATAATTGGGTGTGTATTCCAAAAGAAACCTCCAACAGCGACATACAAATATATGTATGGAAAACAAAGAAAATAAAGAGAGAAATCATTCAATGAGAATCCGCACAGTTGTAGGTATGTACATACATAGGTGAAACAGTGCATAGAGGAGAGGAAGTTCAAGTTCAAACTTACCATATATTTGCAGAAACTATATCTACATGTCTTTATACATACGAGTATGTGCATGTATGTATGTATACCTGTATAAACAGTATATCTAAAAATGCGCTATAATCGTGTACCTGCTGACTTTATACCTAGGCTGTTTATACATATTTACACACTGATATTTATATATACATATATAATATATCATACATAAATATTGTATGTTTCATTTATGTACCTCTGTAGAATAGTAATGGACCCAAGACGACTATTGTGCCATACATATGTTACCGCAGGAAATGAAGGCAAATAAATGCCAGAATATTAAAGACCGTGGCCGTCATCGCAATCTCTCACCCACAATAAGTTAAAAACTTACATTCATACATACATATGTATGTACATTCATGCAGCATGGCTGCTCATACGTTTATTTATATACTTATTTGCATAAAATATTATAACGCTGCCACCGCAACACTTGAGACCAGTTTAGCCAGAAGATATTTATTTGTAAGTCGCCGTTGCTGGCGCTGCCTTCTTCATAAAAAGTGAAAACTCGCAGGCGATGCGGTTGGTGCACTTTTACAAAGCGATGAGCAATGGCATTGCGCCTAAAACTGCACCAAATTGCTTGCTAAAGAAAAGAATAAAAATGAAATGCGGTTATAGCTTTGTACGAGTATCAACACAGTTCACCAGCCGTTTTTTTTTCGTTGATTTGCCTTTTGACTCTCATTCGGCGCTTGTACACCAGTTACAACCCCAAAGTATTTGTTATGTTCGAATCTTTTCGAATTTTCGCTTACACTTGCCAGCCATGTGAAGTGTGGCAACATCGCATTGTGTTCTTTGTATAGATGTCCACATGTATGTATGCACCAGTCTGCTAATTGCATGTGTATGCGTTGGCAACGGCCGGGTTCGCTGCTTTGGGCTGGGCCACATGGCGACCGGTGCGGACACTGCACTACACGCTGTATGTGCCGGGTTGGGCCGGCATATTGTGCGCATGCTTGGATAAAATGTGCGCCGGTTCTTTTGTGTATTTTTACATTCGAAATAACTGACTCAATGCATAACAGAGGGTTGTGTTTGCCCATCTAATAATTTATAGTCATATGATTTCCCGGCTTTTTTTCAACACCAAGCCGTTGTTATTGATTTTTCGTGTACGAATATTGGAAATGCACATAAAGCTATTTCTAACTATGTGTTTTACAGATATGCACTTTATTTGCTTACAGTGTTTCGTTTTGCGAAACTTTTACATATTTATTAGTTAAAATTTGGAAGTGATGCAATTAAAAAGCTCTTAAATATTAACAAAATATTAAAACAAACTATTAGGTATACTAACATTATATTTCAAACTCTTATTTGTATATATTTTACACTTTAAAAAGAGTTTTTAATGTCTTCCAGAGATGGACATGAAATTTCGTGCGTCTAATTCAAGGTTATGTAGGAAAACTTAAAGTCCAAGACGAAATTTCACAGCGGGCCGGAAAATACTATATCGTTTTAGAGTAAAAAATCTAGAGCAGAATTTTTCACAGTTGAATCCCACGACATACTTACTGTGTTTTGTCCGGGACGTTCCATTTTTCTGTCGCAAAGTAAAAGAGCCGTTATTGTCGAATTAAAGCAGACAGTCGGTTGAGATAAAATAGCTACCTGTTAGAATTAAGTATGCGCAAGCTAATACATAATTCAAGGCAATTACTGAAGAATAGCGTAAGTAATATTGTATATATCAAAACGCAGTTGTGGCGAACTTTATTAGTACACATAAACATTAAAACTATTGACCAAATATTATTCTTTCCAAAAATATTAAAAACTACCATCAAAGAAGTAACCGCAGCTCTGAATTCCTCAAATGAATCCTTATTGTTTAACTTACTGATCAAGCCTGTAGGAAAATATATAAATTAGGAGAGCTCGGCATAGTTCACTTACAGTTCTTTTAAAAATATTGCTTAGTAAGCTTACCATCGTCCTAAATAACCACTCCGTTTGGTCTCCTTCCTAGCAGTTCATGGTCAAAAACTCCTGGAAACTAAAATGGGCACCGATTCCCTTGACCTCATCTGACAATGACGTCGTCATAAACGAGATTATTAAATTACGTAACTATGGATATATTTTACAGAAAAACCAAATATGGACTAAGTAAGCAAGTACGAAATAATGCCAGGGTTTGTCTTTGGTAATAAGTTTCCCCCTAGATAGGCTTGTTCGAGCAATAGTAAATTTAGCCGATATCTATTAGAGGACAATAATTCCAGTTAAAGAGAAAAAACATAAATAAAATATATGTAGGTAATTATTGCATTTTTTACAATCATTATATGTTTGTTTTTTGCATGTAAACATAGCCTAACAATATATATGCTTTATTGTGAATTCTAATAGCTGTGTCTTATTGTGAATATGCAATCAGCTGTTAATTGTACGCTATTGGAAAATCTTAGGTTGTGTTTTTATTTTTTCGTATTGTGAAAATGGCATTAACTAATTTGTTAGTGAAAAACAGCTTAACTACAGTTATACGCAACAGCAATGTATTGTTAATTTCAGCAAGATTAGGACACACCATACGCGGCAAACGGCCAGGTGTTGCAAAATCATTAGAACAACGTTTGCAGGGTAGGTGATCATAACGGCGTGCTAGTACCGTATTATTGAAAAATGTTACGTATTATTATCGTTATTAATAAAGGGTAATTTCTTATATATTTTAGAAGAAAATGGCAAAGATCCAGAATTGACTGCACGTGTAAACATTGGTTTCCCGCATTTAAAATCATCCCGCTCGGAACAGTTAAAGCAACGACTGGCGCACTTGAAAGCCCAACGTTCTAGCGAAGAAGTGGAAAAATTGGCACGAGCCAATAAATGTACTATTATTCTGTAGCCATATCGTAATATTTAATAATGTAATTCTTTATTTCAGTATTGATTGATTTGGATGAAGTGGACCGCGAGTATCGCGTAACCAATGGTCAATATGATTTGCGTGTAATTGCTGACCATTATGGCATTTTTGAGGATCTATTTGGTTTGGCATATTTCGTACCTCGTGTGGCACTGAATATTCAGGTATCTGATATAAAATAGCAAATAAGTTCGTTGGTAAATTATTTTGATTTTATAGTATTCACTTGATGGCGGTAATGTGAATTGTGTTTATAATGGAAACGTTATAAAACCTGCGGAAGCGGCAAATGCACCAGAGGTCAGCTTTGACTGCACGATCGATCCTATAACTGGGAAGGTATGAACTTTATTTAGTTATAATACGGGAATATATTTTGCTTTTTTTTGTTGTTATATTTTATATTACAGAAATATACAGAAGATAGTTTTTGGACACTTGTAGCAACGAATCCCGATGCCCATTTTACGGATAGTACTTCGGAATATGTGCATTGGTTTATGTAAGCTTTTAATCATCCTTTATATTTTTTGACATTATTTATTTTTATTTGCTCAGTTCTAATATCCCCAATGGAGATGTTAAAAAGGGCGAAGTGTTGGTCGAATATTTGCCACCTTTTCCACCAAAAGGTGTTGGCTATCAACGTATGGTCTTTGTTTTATATAAACAAAATGGAAAACTGGATTTCAGTAAATATAAGCTCTCACAGAATGAAATGAATAATCTAGAGAAGCGTACATTCAAAACATTGGATTTCTATGGTGAACAACAGGATCATATAACACCAGCGGGGCTTGCATTTTTCCAAAGTGACTGGGATAGTTCAATTACTAACTTCTATCACAATCTATTAAGTATGCATAAATAACAATTTTAAGAACTCGTGTCTAGATTTTAAAATATATTTTGTTTTGCCTACAGATATTAAGGAGCCAGTTTTCGAGTATGACTTCCCCAAACCATATATAGCTGATCAGAAATTCTTTCCGCTGAAACAGGCGTTCAATTTGTATTTAGACCGTTATCGTGATCCTAAAGAGCTCAATCAAGAATTCCTGGAACGAAAATTGGCAACGACGCATCCATTTGAAGGTCCTGAAAAGCCTCTGCGCTTCCCAAATGCGCATCCAATACGTGGTGTGCCGTCCTGGCTCAAGACAGAAATACGAAAGCGACGACTAGGTATTGGTCGCATTAATGATTATAAATAAATGTGTATTGAATAAATTGTAAAAAAGAAACATACCTAAAATGTGTACACAATTACGAAAAATATAGTAAAAAATTTTAACTAAAAGACCTAATTAATTCAAATTAGTTGCGCTGTCATTCGTTTTTTTTTATTATAATAACCGATTTTATCATTTCTGTTCGTTTTATCGAGAGAACACTGTGCCAGGTTTAAGCTGCGAACTTTTTAAATAAATCAGCCAAAATACCAGGCGCTCAGAACAGCACAGCAAGCGGCCCGCCATCTCCGTTCATTCACAATAGAAAATTGAGAAGGTTAAGTTGCGTTCATATCAAACACGTCTTGTAACGAAAATCTGCGTGCACTACCTAATTTAATTAGTTTGCATTTATAAATTTATAAATAAAAATTTTCAATTAAAGACAACGATTAATTGATAAAATAAAGGATTTATGTAATTAAACTTAAAAAAAAATTAGTAAAAGCAATAAATATGTATGAATTAAAATATTTGTGTGCGCGGAATTCACATATATTTCATGCACAGTGATGTACAGAAAATAAGAAAGTTATAAATGTTCGTGATTAAAAGATTTTTGGGACGCACGGTAAATTATACATTTACACACATATCACTAATTTTACAAATTTTATGACTTCTATATTAAATGTCACCAGTGAATTTTTATTGTGTGGTCATTATAAATACAAATTATTCAATCAATTTAGTGATATTTTGTTTTACCTAAAAACTAAGTGCATGTAAACACACCGTTATATCTCATACAACCGTTTTCCCTATAGCATGCGGCACAATTTATTATCTTTTATGTCATTTTTATTAATAAATATTTATGAATTTTTAACGTTTGCATTAAATTTTAAACAAATAAACTTCTTAAAATATACAATTAATATTAATAGAAATTTGACAAAAACCGATTATCGCAACATACATTTTTTAGAGTTTCGTAACTTAAGCGTTTTCATCACTATTACTAATGTTAAAAAAGAGAGAATGCATATTACATACTCGATAATAAATATTTGGCACAATTGTTGTTTGTAATAAATTCTTCCTTTCTATATGAGTGTTAAAAGCGCATATTCATTGAATTGTGTTAAAAACAATTGTATAAAAAAATGATTTAATTGGCACAATAAGGGTTTGCCCAAATATGTATATAGCTTAAAATTTTTTCATAACAAATTTACTTTACAAAGTCTAAAAACTAGAGTAGACTCAAAACAAAATATTTTAAATTTCACATAATTATTTAGCACATTTCACTAAATTTATGTATCATGAGCGGAGAAATAAAATTAAGTACAGCTAGCAATAGGCATTATTGAAATTCTTAAATGTAAAAGTGGCTTTTTTAACTTAATAAATTTCACTGAAAAGAGGCTAACTAAATAATAAACAATTTTCTTTTGTAAATTTTCCTTTTTAAACCAATATTTTTTCTTTCAGAAGAATTCAAACCAATAGTAAGGTTTTCAGTTAAAGTTGATGTAACCGTTAAACAAATTTGCATTTATAATTGATTTTAGGATAACAATTTTTATAAGCATTATGATCATTCAGCTCATGTTAACGCATAAGAGCGTACACTTGAAATCAGTGGTACCCAGAGTAGGCTTATTATTTGGACATTCGTTGCTTGCGTATTAATAAAAGTTCATATAGTAAAAGGAATTTTTACAGACTTTAGTCTTATAAAATCTATTCCAGCAGCAATAAATTTTGTAAGTAAGTACTAGCCTCAATAGTTAATTGATATACTCAAGATGCTTTCATACAATTCAACTTAATTTCACTTAGCTTAAAAATAAAATATATTGATAAATGTGCGTATGTATGTGAATTTTTATCATAGTAATTTAACAATTAAGTTTATCGTTTCATTTGAGGCTCAATTTCGTTTCATCAATTTTTATCACGTCTCTCAAATTCCAACATATGAGGTTAATAAAGGCTCTTGTTTAAATATGTGAATTTTAATATATGCTGATATTACAATTTGCTGCCTATTTTAGTGGCTTTAATGCTACCTTTTGTTTGCTGAAGTACTTAAAATGTTATTTACGGTTTTAGGTCTCTGCCTTGCCGTAGGAACCAGCAGGTGGTCGATACATTGCTGGTAATGAAAAAACCTGTGGCAAATTGAACGCATATTTGCGCTTATCAATATTTTTAAAGACATTATCCATACGTGTTCCATCGCTACGTAAAAAAAAACAATATTGATATATGCACAAATAATCGAGAAAACGAAATCAGGAAAATATTTGCTATTTACCTGCGCATAGTGCTTAGCACATAGGGTACACTCTTAGCTGGCAAATTAAATTCTTGTACAAGCACTCGACACTGTTCCAGCGTCACCGACATGCCCGTACGGTCTTTGGCACTTTTACATGAGGTAAAACGTAAGCCCGACATAAGGCGACACGCATCTTCGGCTAAATGCAAAATTTTTACATTCTTTGATACATTTGAACGTAGCTGATCCTCCATAAAATTGAGTATGTTAGTGAGTGCTTGCGTTGCCGGGGGATGGGGTTCATGCTTGCTAGGTGTATCTGGCGTAACGAGTTGCAATTTACGATAACGACTATAATACTGTTTCAGACGCACAAAATTGTCCCAATTCGAACGATGTTGCTCACGTGTTTGGCCCAATGTTTCGGCTAATGTTGCTTTTTCGTTGATGCCGATATTGAAGAATACCGGTGTTAGTTTGAAGGTGATGGTCTCTTGCGTTGGCATAACAGCGTACACATGCTCTGGTACGGGCAGCAAAACATTAAGTGATTGCCTCGAACCGGTGACACGTGGCATAGGCATCGGCGCGTGCGCATCGCTAATGTAAATAAGTAAATAAAAGTTAGTGTTATACTGTTACTTATATGAAAATCACATACCATTGTGTATTACTTCGCGTTAGCGTAAAATTCACTGCAGAAAGATCCTCAATAGCGATACACATATCGCCCCACATATCCGTTTCGTTGCCGTACAACGAAAGCAAACCTTCGAAGTATGCTAGTGGTCCTAAATCCCTGAGTATCTTTATAAAGTTTTCGGTTATCTCAGTGCCCCATAGTTTGCCCATTAGTGCAGCGATGAGAGCTGTCAACTGTAATGTAGAAAACAGCTCAATTAGCTTAACACTTGTTTTCGAAGGCAAATAACTTACCGCTTGTGAAAAGCTCACATCACGCCGATACATGATTTCTAAATTTATGCTGTTGCGTTTCATATCCTGCTGTAGACGTTGCACAGAATGCATTAGACGCGCTGTTTTCAGCAAACCATCCATGGCGTGGCGTAATTTTCTCATCGAGGGCCGCAACTCGGAAGCCCAATCTGTGGTAAGCGACAAGTCAAGGCCTGAAGAAGAGTTACAAAATAAACTGTCAATTATAATTTTATTTATAAATGCATAAAACAATGTCTAAATGCTACTAAGTATTGGAAAGACTACCATCAGTTAAATACACGTTTGTCGTTATGCTACATATATGAGCAGTACTCACCATCCGTGAATTTGTTGCCTTTTTTAGGTGGCACGATACCTTCTATATTGGTCACAGATGGTTGAACTTCTTCTTTGCTTTGCTCCAGCGCTTCAACATTTTGTGTGAGGTCCAAATTCAGCCCATTACCATTGGTAACCAACGCTTGCTCATTAGCAGCTTCTGAAACCATGCCACTATCTTCGATTTCTGCTATCTTATTTTGACTAGCTACCAGATCTGGCGGTGCGGGGGAGTGCTGAAAGCCTGTTCGTTTCATGTTAGGCTTTGGATGTCGCAGGCGTATTGCTGGACTACCGCAACGTCCACAGAGAAACTTAATTTTACTCACTAGACACATTACACTAGCCTCAATGTTTAATTGTGTTAAATCGAGTGGCTCGGGCTCCTCTGTGGGTCGATAGTAATTAGCCGAGGGAGAAGAACTCATAATTTTTGTATCGAGAAAACTGCCATGTTGCAGTGCGGTAGCATTGTAATCTACATCCAACTCAGAATATATGTGCGTTGCAAATTGTGTATTGAAATTGCTTGACACAGATGCAAGCGAAGAGGGAATGTGACTTCCGTTATTTAACTGCCCCATATCGACGTCATCTAGATCAATTAATTGAAGCGTTGAAATATCATTACCGATGTTCGCATTTAAGCCATCTGCATTGCTAAAATGGCCTTCAGTAAAAGCAATATCGGTTGTCGTGTCATTCAAATGTACGGGTAAAGATTGGAATGTAGCTTCCGCTACTGATTCGTTGTCAGCACCAGCTGCAGCGTTTTTGACTGCCGCCCGATTGCGTAATTGTTCGTTATAACTTTTTACGGTGCGATGTAGTGCATGTATGGCATTTATGTCCATCGTCGAGGGTGACGGCCGTAGACAAAGGCTGTTGGAACGAACTAATGGGCGACCAGCACAGCCGGCGAAACTTGTGGGCGTCTTAGTGCGAGGCCAGAGGTCTGGTGGAGCGACAATAGGTGTCGCAAAATCTTCCAGTTCAGGAGATTTCAAGTCGAGAGCGCAGAGTTGTTGAGTGATCTTTCGAAACGGTGACATGGGCTGCGAGAGCGTATAATGTCATTCGAATTTTTTAATAAATAAAATTTGATTGAGTTTAATATTTACCATTAATACGTTGTCTGGCTCCTCAATGATGCGGTGCTGTTCCACAAATGCAAAAGCCTCCTCTACCAAGCTTGGTTCCCATATGTTCAGTAATGTTTTCGTTTTTGTAATCATCTCATTGCATAAAGGCATCATACCTTTCGGGTTTTTACTCTTAGCAAGTAATAGTAGTTGTGACATTATTTCAACGATCTCTTTACGCAACTGCTTTATAGCCTGTACGGCATCGTTGGCGGCTTGCACTTTGCATGCATTGCCCTGTTCGAATTTCGACGGTGAATCTTTGGTTTCTTGTAACAACCTTGAATATTGGGCAATTTTTCAAAGAGTTATAGGCATATTACAATATAATTCAATTACAATTTAAACTATAATATCCAAGAATTGATTTCCTTCTTTTGTTTATAATCAAAATTAAATTTCACTTACTTTATAAGGCCTCCAGTACGTCCTTTGGCAGCGTGGCGCGTAAATGCACCAACCGTTATAATGTCCAGAACACCAGATCGATTCAAGGTGTCATTTTGTGCCCACATTCGTTGCAAATGCAAATTGACTGGTATAAATTCAAGCGATTCATCAGTCTTTACGGAAGAACGTTTGAAGTACGGACCTATGGTAAGAGAGGATTTAGCGAGATTTACAGCGTATCTTTCTTTTTTAACAACTTAAAAACCAGTTATTTATACTAACGCAAAGTACTCATAAAATTAAAAAAAAAGTAGTTACGAAAACAAAATATATGTATATAAACATAAAAAATTAAAATTTTGATTTTTTTAAGCGGCAAGATCTGCCTTTTTTCTATCGCATAATTTTATCCTTAAAGAGTGTATAAATCAAATATTAATTGTTAGTGTTGTTAGAATAGAGTGATAGAAAACATTTCATAATACCATCTGATCAAATTTGACCCAGACTGACAAAAAAAAAAATACATTCTTAGCTGGCATAGCCCCTAGTGAATTTTTTTTCGGTTTCGGCTCCTTTTTGAAACGCCATTCGCTAGATTTTTGGATAGTCTCTACATCATATTCATACCCCTACGTCTCTGCACCTGATGCGTTTAGATAAATTTAGGATCGTCAGGGAAGTTTTTGCGACGAGTCTTTTGGTCTTCTAGCATTGACACGCTTCATACTCAAAACATTAACCCAAATGTGTTGCGTCGACCCATAAGAGATGTCTGCTATTTCGCTGATACCAACACGACGATTTTCAAGTACTATTTTCTTTTTAACTTTTTTGATGCAATAAAGTTGACTCCTCGAAGTATTGTACTTCTTGAACATTTACAATGATTTCGTAGTCGTGATTCCAGAACACGATCAAGCATAAAAAGTTGTACCAATTTAGAAAAAGAATTTATATCGATTCGATTTGGGGCCGAAGATTAAATAGAAAAAAAAATTTAATGAGATGGTAAATAAAACTAAACTCAATTCTTGACATCCATAAGTTAATGAATAAAATTCGAATTATGCTAATATTACTTTAAGCACATATGCAATTTAGTTAAAATATTTAGTGAGTCGTCGGCGTTATTAACTCACCTTCCTCCTTGGTAATCTGTTGTAGATTTTGTTTCGCCTGAGAATAATCTTTCAGCAATTTTAGATGTTTATCAAGTAAATCCATCTGCCGTCTTCGCCATTCGCCACCCAATTCGCCCATACCTGAGATTTCTTGTAACAATTCCTTTTCACGCAATATCCATATAGTGCTGTGAATGTGAAGTAAGTTTTAATAACTTTGACAACACAGTAAATAAATTGTTCTTACAGTAATTGCTGAGGTATTGTAAAGCTGTATTTGCTTTCGAGCAGAGCCTCGTGGACACTGATGTCGCCTCCCATACCTGAGTGTAAACGATATGTGTGAATCTGAAACAGAATATGGATGTAATTACATTTTACGAATACATAAACCTATAAGAAAACTCACCAAAGGATTTGCGAAGACTACTTGCAGAAGACCTTGAAAAGGTACAAATAGTTTTACACCCAATTTGGGTGGCAGAGATTGTGAACGTCGATGGCCTAAAGAACAAGTATTTGGTAAATATATGATTAAAAATAAAAATAAGAAAACACCGCTACATACCTTTAGTGTGCTCTTCAAACACCTGCGTAGTGGAACGTGGTGGCGATTGTCGATCTGTCTCTGGAGCCCAGGAGGCGATCGTTATAAAGCCACCCTCACTGTCCAATGCACGCAGTGGAATACGGAAGCGAGTAGCATCCTTTTTAGCATGTAAAAACAACTGTAATTAGCAAACAAAAGCCAATTGAAAATGTCCAACTCACTTGTATGACACCTAAAGCCACTTCAGCGTAGGCAAGTGGGACAGCGGTGTGTGACAAGCGTTCGCGTACATCATATACTGTAAAACGCAACAGTGTATCTGCTGAGAAGCCATCACTTCGTTTAAATCGCATAGTGCACAAGAATTGCGGATTCGCAGAGCGTTCGACGATTTCGGTACGCGCAAAATCACGCCATAACATTGTATTACCAAGCGAAAGTAATGAACAGACGACGCGTGTATTCGGCAGTCGTCCGTGATCGCCACACGGCAAACTATCACAGGATAAGGCAGACTCACAAATTGGTATTTCGCTGAGGTCTAAAAGGGGCACAAGCGAAGCGAATATTGACAGGTGGAAAAAGAATGACAGAAAATTAAGGTGTGTTAAAAAGTGTTAGGATTGTATACATATGATTCGATTATGTACGAGTATGTATATTAACGAATGAAGAGAGGATATTAGGTAATGAAATTAAAGTTGTAAAGTAGGATTTTAAAAACAGCATTTTATTTTAAATATATAAAAAATATTAATGGATTTTATCTGTAGGTTTTTACTTTATTTCATTGAGTTTAAAACTTATTATACATGTATGTATTAATAGGGAAATTCTTATGTATATACAGTGAGAATTCATAAAAAAAATGCAAACTTTCGTATCACATTAATTGTTGTGTAAGCTATTTACAAAAAAAAAAGTATTAAAAACTATACAATGCTAATGTTTTAACCATTACCAATATAACAGCAATTTTAAAATTTCAAATTTCTGAAAGATTTCACATGCACAAGTTGCCCGAAGGTAATTGCATCCTCAAAATTTTGTGGAGTTTTATAGAAGATAATAGGAAAAGCTTGCTTGATTCGACAAAAATTCCCCTTACGAATCTCAAGAAAAAAAAAATAATATTTGCATAAATAGGTGTAGTTCAGTTAAGGAGAAAAATTTACCGCCAAAAATTGTGGGGTTATGGTGAACATATCAGAGACTAAGCGGAAAACTCTTTTTTTTAACTAACAGAAAGAATTTACTGTATGAAGTTTAAATAGCTCAGTAAATTATTTTAATAACACAAATACAAACAAAAAAAAAAACAATTTGCCGCAAAGAAATATTGGAAAAATTTAACAAAGTTTACAAAAATAAAGAATCGAACTGAATTTTTAATTGCCAAAGTAAAGTGAATTTGCTAAGTAAAAAAAATAGCACTATGTGCTTTTAAACAAAACCCCCCCTATCACATAGTGGGGTTAATATTAAAATGTTGCTAAATAATGGTAAACTAAAATTAACTCTAATTTATTAATTCTTAATTAAATATATGCAATTCTTTTATGCAATCTAAACTAAAATCATTCATTAAAAAAATATATATGTTTATACATAGGCTAATTTTAAACTAATTTATGGCAATTCGAAACTTCTTAAAATTGTATAAGATCACCTTCTTCCACTTTGATTGGTGTTGAACTTTTTGTTGTTGGCGCTGTTAGTGCAGCTGCGCCTCCACTATTGGTTGCCGTATTCAAAAGCAATGCGTCGCTGGCTGATGTAAATGTGCCCGCCGGTGACAGACCACTCTCGATGCGATTGCCCATTTTAATAGTAATTTGATCTTGTAAATATTTAATTTGCCGATCTAAATAGGCATAGGAGGCTAACTGAATGCACTTCACCCACTCCAAGCGCTCTTTGGCCGTACGTGTTGAGATGCGTTGCGGTTGACTGCCTTCGAATTCTAAAGTAATAAATGCAATAATAAATAAATGTAATTTCAGCGTATTTCTTCAGTTTTGATAAATGCTTACCTAAAATGAATGCGAAACCATCAAATTCGCGCTCTTCATTTCGTATTAATGGCCGACAGTTTTCAAGCACGAGTAAACCAGCTGGTGGCGACTGGGGATCGTGATCCTTTAGGTAAAATAACAAATTACCTCGTAATTTACACCAACGCGGGTAATTTACTGGAAAATATTAATATAAAAAAAATATACCATCGAAAATTTTACTAAAAGTATCGGGTTGAAAGCAAGTTGAAAATTTTAAATTTGGAAAGTTAAAGCATATTGATTATTTCTTCAAATTCTACTATAATAAACATTTTGAGGAGCCAACACCAAATTTCCCATTAAAATGTGTGAAAGTGAGTAAGTATTTTACAGAATGCAGAAGGAAATGTATCGCTTAAACTGTGCAGCGCTAGAATAAACATATTTATGAATATTATATGCGTTGCTACGGATTAGTATTGGTGCTTTAGGTGTGATAAAAATAAATTCTTTACCTATCTTTACATTTGTTACAAAAGATATAACATGGTTTTGTGTAAAGGTATTCGTTTATGTATGGTATTTGGTCTTACTCCTGTTAAATATGAAAAAAAATGGTATGGTTAAAATAATGTGAAAAAAATATTTTCATAAATATACATGTATGTATGTACGTATATAATACAAAGAGAATATGATTTAAATAAAGCAAGAATTGTTCAAATTACTTTCGAATAAAATACGTTAACTAAAATAACATCGCAAAATTTAGTTCATATTCTTATATTACACATAGTATTTAAACGTAAATATTAATATTATATATTTTTTATATACCATGCACTTTTATTATAAATTAATACATAAATGAGTCATGCGAGAAAAATTAGTTAATATTTGTTTCCTTTCCCTACTATTAAAATAAATGGTGTATCTAGAGATTTTTTAAATTGACATGAATTTTTACTTTATTCTTGATACAAAAACTTGGCTAAAATTTCACGGCAAAAAATATTTATTTTAAATATGGTAAAGGTTACAAAATGTATAACTTTTAACCAATAGTTAATAAATATATCCCAAACTTTTGATATACACTTTTTACAGACTCAATAATTAAAATATACATATATGCATGTATGTATACATATGGTTATATAAATACCAACATGCAAAATTTTGTTATCTTACCATCTGCACGACGAAAAAAACCCTCTTGGCGTTCTGTTATTATCAAAAGTCCTTCTTTTTCAAATTTTATAGCTGGGTTTGTGGCTAATGTCGCTAAACCAGTCTTATTGAAGCGCATATTTTCAGGTATCTCACGGTTTCGTCACCTTTTGCCTCCGTTATTTTGGAACTTTGGAAGTTGCTATTATTTGTATTAAATCGATGGCTAAAGGAAGAAAAAATTGTTTGAATCAAATTTTGAAAACATAAATTAATTATCTTAATTTAAGAAAAATATATAAATCGAGTTTCATTTAGTTTTAATAACACCTTACAAATCATTGATTACATATAATTATAGGCATTACTTATATACTCAAAAATCAATTCATCAAATATGTTGAAATAACAGATGTGCTATTTTATAGCAAAAAGGTTCACATGTAATAAGTAACCTATACAGATGTTTAAAGCGAGTTTATTACATTTTCAACATGTGAATTAATGTAAAAAAAAAGGTGTTTCAATATAAATCTTTGGACCGACCAAGATCATTAGAACGTGACTTAATTGGGTTGACCATTCACTCGATTTCCACCGTGTGCATGGTTTCAAACTTTTATATATTCAAACCGTATAATGCATGTGAAATTAAGTATAAGTGGTCAATCAAAAATTATTTTTTAGTTCGTCTTTCTCCTATCGCGTATTATTATTCCGTGTAAATAAGAGATTATCAGTATAATATATGCATATGAGCACCATTTATTTTGTTATCATTATTAACACATTTTACGTTTGTTTATTTTTAGCCCTATTATATACACACACGAACACACATACCAAATTTGCACCGGAAAATAACAGTAAAAATATACATATATATGCATGTATGTAAATAACAAAAATAAAAGTTGACGTTAATGGTTAAGTACTCAACCAAAAATAATAAATGTTTGTGTACATCAACCGATGAAAGCGTAGAATATGGAAGAGCAAAAGCTGTATTTCCAAAAAAAAAAATGTCATGGTATACGAAATCTATAGACACTATGTGGAACAGAGTTGATGGAACAGACACGAAATGTAATCACCGGTATGTGATGTGGCGCAGTTAGATTTAATGCCTTCTAACAAATCAAAAAATGTTAATATCCACATACAAACCGCAAATAGTGGTGCAGTATGGAACATGCTTTAGCTGATTATTATATAAAAAAGGTTGAGATGAAAGCTATATACATACACATACAAACATATATATACATATATTTATGAAGTCTACGTCATAAATTTGCCTCCTACTTGTAATAGCCTTGCAAATAATTGATTTATTAGGTAAGCAGAAATATTATATGAAGAAGTTCACACCTGGAAAATTAATATGTACAATCACCTGTAACTTGGGTGTTACAAAGTACATTTGACTAAATCTTTTGTGTTATAGAGACTTTGCAAATTCGCCATTCATTGTGTGAATATATAACTCTTTAGTTAAATAAACAGATATTAGTAGGAAACCAAGTTATACTGGTTTATAATAATTCTTTATAATATAGCTGCTATGGAACGTATGCAAATTATTTTTCACTTCTAAACAATCAATTTTCCGCACACACTTTCACCTCCGAAAACTTTCAATTTCCAATTAAACTTTTTCCACTGCAAACTGTTTGCTCACTCGCAGTTTTAATTGTGTCCAGCTGCAGCTATGCAGCTAAGATAGTGTTTTTATTTATTCATTGGACCAAGTAAATAACCGCATTAAATTATTATTATAATCAAATAACAACAAATTTTATAGTCGACTGATAAAATTTTACAATGACAGTGGTAGTGACAGTACAAAACCTGCCAGATTGGCGAAATGTTAAAAATCACATATGTATACCATCAGCTGTTGTTTTTATTCGTGTTAATTCGCACCCTTCCATACACATGCATATATATTTATAATATACAGGTTACAGGTAATAGATAGATAATGTTAGTATCTAATATGTATATATTTCTTCAACAATGTCTTTGATATTTTTTCTAATAAGATTTATTTTTGAATGTGCTTCATTTTTTCTAATAAGATTTATTTTTGAATGTGCGTCAGCTGGTATCACAATTCAAAAACACAGAGAGACAAATAGGAATAATTTTTGATTGAGTTAAATACCAAGCACGTTGTGGACTACCCGAAACTCTAATACATAACTAGCATGAAAATTAACACATACACACGTTGAAACCTTATATTTTCGAGTAGGTTTGTCAATTCGGCCTTAAGTCACCAAAGAAGCTTTAACAGCTCTCTGTTAATTAACGTACGATTTAACCGTTAGTTCACTTGGAGGGTATTTAAAGTGTTGTTGTTTATATTTTTATATTTACTGAACATACTGCTTAGAGTTTTCTTATTTTGTTTTTTCAACGGTTTTTTGTAACATCTAAATAAATGCGATTTGTGTATATAGGTTTACATACATACAAGTACATATGTATGTATAGTCAAGATGACGACACATATTGTTTGAGAAAAACTGAGATATCTGGAATAAATCTAGTATTCTTGTCCTTTGGCGCTCTGCAGAAATTGATCTGACATACATTTAACAATTCCACAAGATATTCGAAAATTCTTATATTGAGAAGTTGGTGGTGGAAGTCAAATAGGTCTCCAGACAACATATACAATTTTTCACTTTAGACTCCATAAGTATACGAGACGCTTAATTCGGTTCAGTATCGTTTATTACTGAAACTGACTGAAATCGATTCATAACTTCCTCTAGCCTCCATATGCGTAATGCCATGTATATTAATTTCGATTAATCCGTGTGTTTTAAATACATTTTGGATATTAGGCAAGATAACTTATTGAAAGAAAATAAGTAGCGTGATGAAAAAGAACAAACCATCGACAACGAGCAATATGTACTGTTATTCCCATTTATAAAGAGTGAAAGTGGGTGGAAAAGCGAACCTATTTAAAAAAGACGACTGTGCTGTTTCACAGTGAAGGCAGTGAAGGCCATCCCAGCTAACTGAGGCTTATAACAAATGTATGGAAAATGGAATTAAACGTCAGCATGATTGTATTGGCTAAGGATCATATTTTGAAGATGAGGACCGTAGTAAGGACCTATGTTATATTTATAAATGATCAGCGTGACTAGCAGATTCTATTTAGCCATGTCTGTCCGTCTGTCGACCTGAAATTTTGCACACGTCTTTTCTTTCAAATAAGCTGCTCATTTGTTAAATTGACAGATCAAAATCAAGTTTCTGTATAGGAAATTTTTATATTTGACAAGATATCTCAACGAAATGCGGCATAGATTATTGTCCAAGAAAGCGTCACTATCTCCGTACACTCAGACATAGTTGGCGAAGGTAAAATTTTAATTTAAATTTTTCTATAAACAATTCAGCGACTGGCAAATGATTAGACTGACGTCAGTAAGTGAAATTCTGCAAACAAATTATCAACAGAAGTTTCGTCTCATGCTGAGCGTCCCGTCTCAATGATTTGACGCAATTCAATTCAAATTAATTCAACTGTACAGAGTTGAGACACACTTCTGTCAGCCACATTTCCATATACTCATTCAATTCTACGAGTATATGTACTCACTCACACACTGACACACGCACATAGAAACATAAGTGTGTATGAAAGCAATTTATTATCAATGCAACAGTCACAGTGACGGATGCAGATGCAATGTCAATTGTAACAGCAACAAGTTGTCGCGTGGCAAGTTGGCTGGCTAGAAGAGAATACGCTAGGAGAAACGAAATTAAATAGAATAATATTGAAACGAGCAGACGCAGCAAGCGCAAGGTAGTTACGTATTTATGTTGATATATGTATGAATGTATATGTAGGTGTTTGTATACACTCATACAAATGAGACATTTTTACCGTTGCGTAGAAACGCGATTAAGTGGCGTGCACGTGTATCAGCAACATGAGTCAGTTTGCTTTATGGCATACATATCAGCGGCGAACGTAGCAAATCTAACATAGGCGCATATTTTTTACTTGTATGTATGTATGTAGGTGTAATATCATACAAGGCTCTGGTCATATCATATAAATTGTAAAAGTTTTGAATGTCATATAGAACATATTTGATTAAGTTTTACAGAACTTGCTTAGGTAAGTATGGTATTTACAGAAGTATAATATGTACACACATACATTGAAGAAAAATATAAACTAACACCATTATGTTACTTTTTAGTTGCAACGGTTACTGTTAGACTTCGCACTTACTTAGGTTAATATACCTTATACGACGCTTATAACATTTCTTGATGATTGATTGAGCTCTCATTTCTACTTTTTTTAGATAAGAAATTTATTGCGTACAAGCTTCAAGTAGAAGTTACAGCTGGGAATATTTTTTGTTCTAAAAGTGTTCAACGTTGGTACTGTTGCTTGTAGCGATAGATAGTCCTTGGCCGATAAAATCGACATGATATCTATGGTGATAGCATATGAATTCCACAAAGGCAGGCACATAAAGAAAGTGTTATATATGTATATATATATATATGTGAGTGCAATGTGCAAACTTTGTAAAGTCAATTTAAAATCTAAATTTGCAAAGATTTTAACCATTATGTTAAATATCCACAGCTATGAATGAAATATGTATATATTTTTTAAATATTTTCAGCCTTACTATTCGAATCGAAACCGAAATGCGTCAATTACGACTGTTCTTGACATTTATATAATTTCTACTAACTTCTCTTAATCATATACCAGAAGTAGTGGAGCATAATAAACTACGTAAAACGCTTAAAACGTGAGCATATATGTACAGCAATTGAGTTATAGTTGTATGTAATATAATTGTATAAATGTATGTTTCATATTGATGTAATCGCACCTGCTTTTGAAATTGTTACCTTTTCTCATTGATTGTTTTTTCGTGTATAAGCAACCCAGTTGAATTTTTATACCCTGTACGAGGCATATTGAGTTTGCTACGAAGTTTGTAACACTCAGAAGGAAACTTTCAAGACTCAATATAATATTTATAGGTATAATCTATCAGCGTGACGAACTGAGTCGTTTTAACCATGTCCGTCTGTCTGTATATACGCTTGTCTCACAGTTTTTGAGATATGAATTTGAAATTTTGCACACACGAGTTATTGTTCACGACAATGCTGCAATCTCCGAAGAAATTGTTCAGACTATAGCGTATAGCTGGCATACTAACTGATCGATCAAAATCAAGTTCTTCTGTATTTGTGATAGGTATTGTAGCTTCGGTGCAACCGATGCTAACGTTTTTTCTTTCACGTTCGCTGACAATAATTCAAAAGTGTATCTGGAAGGAGATTTAGACTAACTGTCATAATCTGCCGGCACTGTGAATTAAATTCCTTTACTAGCATGTGTGTATTCATTCGAATAACATTATTTGTACAAAATTTTCTTTCTTATGTACTTGTATACTTATTTGGCATAAACGCCATACTTGTATAATTGTACGATGATTTCTTTCTAATGTTTTGACGCGATAAGTGTCAAATCACCTCGAAAATTCCCTAACAAACTTGAAATAAAGTTGTAAGTACAAATATCGAGAATAGAAAGGATACATTTCTCAAAAGAAATTTCTAATTCAGATACATTTAAAAAAAGTGTGAAATATTATGATATATTGTACATATCCCCGATGGAATTCCTAACATAGCGCTAAGGGCAGTTTAGGATATTAAGAATGTAGGCCTTTTTTGAATAATGTATGACACATGCATAAAGGAAGGCTGCTTTCCTAAGCTATGGTAAAAGCAGCATCTTATATTACTGCAAATACCAAACAAGCCTTTGACAGACCCGAACCATTTCTCGCCACTCTGTTATTAGAGTCCGCTGGAAAAATCCTTGAGATATATACCAATGCCTAAATAAAGCAATCGATGACGATGGCTGCTTATCCCCGAATAAATTTGGATTCAGGAAGGCAAGATGCACTATCGAAGCGGTGACCCGAGCCTTCGTGCCTCCGTACCTCTACAAAATAATCGTTAGCTATTTCAAGGAAAGAATTCTGAGCTACTACTCACGCAAAGGCTATAAGTCACCTATGTATATATGTACGACGGAGTACTGCGACTCAAATCACCTAAATATGTTCACATCATTGGATTTGCAGATAACATTGATATTGTGGTGATAGCTAAGAACATAGAAGATATTGTTACGATAACCAGTGCAACAATACCGTTAATATGTGATTGGCTTGAAACTAAGGGATTTATCCTAACAGAAAGCAAAACTGAAGTTGTGCTTATTAGTGGCAGGAAAACCTGTGGGACTGCTACATCCAGTCTAAAAGTAGTTAACTATATATATAACTACACAACTACCCTTAATATTTAGGAATTATTCTTGATGCAAGAATGTTCTTTAAAAAACATTTCGCCTGAGTATGTGCTTCAAAAATAAGCCGAGTTTTAACCTGTGGACCAAAGCAGAGACGGTGAAGAATTGGCAAAGGCGATGGGAAGTCAGTCGAAATTGACATTGGACGTTCCGAATAAAAAACTCACACGGCGGGATAGATTTTTACTTAACTCAAATTCTCACAGGACTTGGCTGTTTCAAAGCATATTTGAAACGTTTCAGACACGAAAAACGATGATATATGCAACAATTTCGGAGGCGAGACAATTGAAAATGTTTCATTGCCCGCAATACGAGCAAGAGAGGCGATACCTTAAGAGTGCATTCGGACAGACACAACCCCTGAAAACCTAGTAGATGAAATGGTGGAATTAAAAGATAGGTAATACGCTCTGCATGAAATAGTCGCTAAAATAGTGAAAACTCAAAGAACCAGAGAGCAGTAGCGGAGAAGAGAACTCCAAAACTATGCGGACGACTAGAACGCGGACCAAACAAACGCATACCATAACAACTAAAGCATATGGGAAGAGTTTGGCGACAAACATTGCACGGAACGGGATCAGAAACTAACACAGGTGGGGTCAAGTAAATGCAACTTGTAATGAAATGCATCCAGACGATTACAAACGTATGAGCATTGGTCAAACATCCTCCCGACGTAATACTTGACGGTGGTGCCGAGGGGATAAGTATATGACGGTAGGAGGTTTAGGTAGGATTAAAGTCCCACCCTGATATGAGGTTCAGGCATTCGATTTTTCCTCCTCGTAAAAAAAATCTTACATATTTATGTAAATTATTGCAAAAATGGTACATAATAAAAAAATAATGAGCAGCACAATGGAAATAGTTTAATAATGTGGATCATTGTTGAAGTTTTTTAAATAACTACATATGTATGTACACATGCAAGCGAATTGAGAAAATCTGAAATTACTCATACGTCATGTCATTGGCCATAATTTTAATAGTACAAGGAAAACTGTACTGTTTAAAGTAAAAATACTAATGCTTAGATATTTTTTTGGCATAATATAATTTCTATCTAACCATATGTTTTTATTTGGAATTTCACTAATTTTCGCTTACTTCAAGTATTTCTACAAAATGAATATAAATATCACGTATACGTACTGACATACAGCGTCATAATGTTCATATGAGAATATATTCATACATATTTACACTTGTACTTAGTACATTATTAAAATATTTGGCTGATGTAAATGGAAATATGAGTAGATTAATTCCACAAATAACAAATTTGTAAACAAAAATCCAAAATTAATTACTTGTAATTTTTTATCCCAAACTCTTCCACTTATATGTATTGGCATTTTATATTTTATTCTCGCATATTATTCCTTTTATTATGTGCATGTTTGTTGAATAAGCTTTGAATTCAATAAAGTTTATATATAAATTTCCAATTCAATGTCGTTTACGATTTGTTTTTGTAGTTGACGAATACAATCTATTCTGTACAACGGCACGATTAGCACGATGTACGCAACTGACCAAACCGAAGCAGTGAATCTTTTTATACAGATATACATATGTATATATGCATATATATCAACACACTCACATACGTACATACACATAAAATATATTTGGTTGTGTTGTTCGCTGCAAATATAACAAAGCAGCAAGGGGGGGGGGGGCAAAAAGTGCCGAATAGCGAGTTAGTCAGTCAGTATGTTACGTGTGGAATGACAACGAAAGCAACGGGATTAACTACAAAATCAACAAGCGATAATTTCGAAGACGAAAGCACCTAGCGACAAAAAACAACAACAACAGATAACCACGTCGTCGACGTAACCATGAGAACGCAATCGTCCAATGCGCAATCTTATGTACATACATACATGCACATATAATTCTTGTGTAAGGTATGTATTGTAGTTGATACCATTGCTCTCTAAAGAGAAAGTCCCGAGAGCATTCCTAACTAAATGGCAAGAAACAACAACAACAAAAAATCATAAACAAATACAAAACAGCTGCTATGGAGTTACTGTGACAGAAGAGAATATGCTTCTGAAATATTACGTAGGGTACATACTTTCTTCCGTGTTTTTATATACTCATACACTTACAGGTGGCAAATGTGAGCAGCGTTTACCAAGGTATATTCTACAAAGGATATGGCGGAATTTCATGTGAATGCAAAAAGTTATCTAGTGCATAAAACTAAATTTTGAGTGTGTTTATGGAAGATAAATATTTTTTAATTATATTATTATTTACAGATGATTACAGGATTACTTCGAACGAAACCAAGTATTAAAATTTATTTTTTAATATATTCATAATATTTGGAAACATTGGTGGGAAATTCGCATATACATATTTGCAGATATAATATAAAAAGCTTGAATTATGAATCGTAAAGAACCTACTATTTCGTATTACACATACTTGTAATATGTACAATAGATATATATAATAATATAAATTTTAACAGGGTTCCAGTCTGCTACGAAGCTTGTAACACCCTGAAAGAAAGATACCATATAGATCAGCGTGTCGAGCTGAGTGGATTTAGTCCATCTGTCTGTCCGTCTGTCTGTATATTCGTCATTTTGAGATATCCATTTGAAATTTTGCATACATTTTTTTCTTCCCAACAAGCTGCTCATTTCTCGGAACCGCCGATATCGAACCATTATAAGTTGTAACTGCCATACAAACTGATCGATCAAAATTAGGTCGTACTTTTCAGTACGTACTCGTACTTTTTAGTTTGACAAGATATCTTCACTAAATTTGGGATGGATTATTATAATATATAACAATGCAATAATCTACAAATATATTTCCCAGAACCACTATATTAAATAGGACCACCATAGCATATAGCTGCCATACAAACTGACTCAAAATAAAGATTTTCATATAATATCTTTTTTGCTTATTAGGTAATCTTATTTCGACTTCAAGGTTGTTTATATCAAACAAAGTGGCTAGAAAGAACTAACATAACTTTTTCCGCGGTATGCAAACCGCTAGTCGCTTAAGTTTTCAGATATAGTTGTACATATACATAGTTGGTATAAGAAATAGATCTGTGAAGTGTATGATAGCTTCAGTGCATCCAAAATTAATTTTGTTGGTTTTTACACGATTTTATACCATTTAGCACGATTAAACATTTTTTGGACTTAAATTTAATGTCAGATTTAATTTTTGCGAAATATGTTCATACCATAAATTTAGAGGAAATTCCCTTTTTGTGGATACAAGCAAATTTACTGTTTTGAACAATAGCAAATAGCACAAATTTGTGGGAGCGATCAATGCCTTTTTTAGACGGTTTTTTCTTCGACCAATCTACCGTAAAAACAGAATTTGGTGTATGTACATATATATGTACATACATACATAAGACATATACACACACGCATATAGCTTAAAGGATTGAAATAATGTTGGTGCGAAATTTAATTATTAACTACGTCTGTTCAGGTGTTATTGCTCTCTTCGTATTTGTATTATATTTTGTCGTTATCGTTTTTTATTCAATATGTACACTAAATTCATTTACTCTGGTTATTTATTTAATTTAATTTCAGTTCACGTGCCAACGTGTGTGACACTCGATTAGGTGACTAGTCCAATAAAATGATAAAAATGATCTTTTTGTATTAAAAAAATACAATATACAAACATACATATACATATACACATATAGTACGTGTGTACATACTATAGCTATGTAAGTATCTATTTATATATGCATGTGTATGTGTAAAATAAGAAATAATCAAAAATAATGCTCTTAACCGACTCATTTTGTTGTGTTTTGCATTTGTTGTTATAATTGTTGTTTCTCTTGCTCGTTCGTTCCGTACCATTAGTGTTGTTGTCGTCATTGCCGACGTAGCACAGTGTATTAGTGCTGAAAGCTAATTTATTTATATTAAATGTTTTTGCAAAATTATTATGTGTTATCACTTCGACAAGGGGAAGTGGTTTATTTCGTAGACAAGTTTTTATCTAAATTTATTTAACCATGTACGTTTGTCGGTCCATTTTTGAGATGTCAATTTGAAAGTTTGCACACTTCATTTTTTCCTCGAAAAACTGCTTATATGTCGGACTCCTAAAAGCCGTTTCCAGCCGTGCCATTCAAACTGATAAATCAAAATCAAGATAAAGATATTTTTATACCCTTTAATGTTATAAGAAATATTATTGTAAAGGGTATTATATGTAGCTTCGGTGCAGCCGAAGTAACCGTTTCTTCTTGTTTTCTTCTTAGTTAGTTAAAAACTATGTCACACATCCTCGGTTTGATTCTGTAATAAAAAACTGTTGTCTATCAAATCATCATGTATGTATGTGGCTTAAAAGGTAATTTCTTGCAAAATCGAAACACTGTAAATCATTGTCGTAGTTGCTGAGATAGCTGGCCGTATCTGTGTCGCTGTTGAATGCTTTCGTCAGTCACAGTCTTCGACGTAAGGCATTCGGAGCGAATGAGTGAGCGAGTGACGAGTGTGAAAAAGTACGCGGCGGCGGCCTTATTGTAGCTACACACAAGTATATAGTGTGGGCCAGCCTCTTAGAACGTGAAACGTGGAGGACGGGCCGTTCCGAAAGCTACAGTGACGGTAACGGTGACAGTGGCGAAGGCGAAGACGATAATCCAAACGAAATCATATTTCGTGTGAGTGAGTTGTGGTGCAAAAACAAAAAAAAAAAAAATTATAATAAAGTCAAGATACAAATGTATCTAGATATGAACACGCATATGTATGTATATACAAACTAACATTTGAAAGATTGAAAATTCCCAAAATAATTCTTGAAAATTAGAAAAAAATTAGCAATTAAGCAGTAAGACTGAAGTCATAAAGAATTGGCAATGATACACAATACATATGTATGTGCATATATGTACAATGTATGTATGTACAGGGATTCCAGCTGATCCTAAAAAAATTTATTTATAATAATTGAGTTTTGTATAAATAAACAGGAAAAGTTAGTATGCTATAAAAAATTAAATATAGTATAGGATGCATGTTTACCTCTCAGAAATGTAGGTATGTGCATATGTACATATAGATGTTTGGCCATATTAAGAGTTGAAGTATCATAGACCCACATAGCTACATACATATTTATGCAAGTATGCAAAAATTATGCGAATGTTAACGCGGACACGGATACGCGGCTACTGATAGTACTGGCTCAGCACAGCCGCCACAACAGTCCCAATCAATTCAGCAGCCAGTTAGACCTGATAAAAACAATTCGAATAAATACACACATGCATACATATGTATGTAAATAACTATTTATATACCTATAGGGTACATCGCTAAGTATGTATGTACATGTATAAATATGTACATCAAAACAACATCATGTGTTAGAAAACAAAACAAGGCGCGTAGACAACTGCAAAAGTAAATGTGTTTATGTGTGTATGCGCTTAGTACAAAGGGGTTGTCGTAACGAACGTAGCGCAGCTAACTCACAATAGTCAGCTACTTTTTTTCTAAACCAACAACGCTAGTAGCAAAAGAGATTTTGACGTAATCACAGTAAAGGTTTCAGAATGTTCATTTTATTTTCATAATAAAAACGAAGCTTTTCAATGAATTGTTTAATCATCACAATTAATTCGTTTTCGTCAGTTGTCAGTGTGATCTTCTGAGCTGCACCAGTGCTACATTTGTAGCTTTGGCCTAGTGTCTGACTGTGTTAGTCGTTTGACCGGTGGTGTGTTTTTGTTATTGTGACTAACATATTTGTACCTCATTCAACTAATTCATTTCTGAACAGCAAGACATATATAAATACAAACACATGATATGTACAAAAGAAAAAAGAGTGGATTTTGTGTTAGAACAAATTGTTGCTTTTACCGACTCTGCATTATTGGCAATTTGTTGTTGTTTGCGTTTCAAGTGCAAATTGCGTGAAAGAGGCAATCACCATTACCTCGTTTCATTGAATATTTCCTCATTTCTTTGCGGATGGCTATGAAATTGCTAAGTGCTTAGCATGTAATTGTGTTCGTATGGGCATTTAGATATGTAAGTACGTATATTTTTATATGTGATTGTTTCGCCGCATTTCTTTGCATTGTTCACGTACATATGTATACAGATATGTATGTATATATAATATAATATACGTTTATATGCGTAACTATTAGCATACACATAGTTGTTGCTGCTCTTTTTCTCTGATGTTACAAATGTCATTGCTGTTACCAACATTGCTGTTGTCGTCGTCGACGCAGTCGTTGCTTTCGTAATCACATGCAGTTGAAGTGCATGCATTTCTTTATGTATGTGATTACTTATATGCCTATGTATAGACGTAGGTTCATATTACGAATGCAAATAGATTGTTTAGTCGGCGGTTTATTGTATTTTCGCTATGAAAAAACTATGCGCTAAAATCTATATATTTATGTTCATAGATACATAAATATATATGTATAATATATCTAGTTGAGTGTTATGTATAGTGAAACACGTGTGAACAATTTTATTTTCAATTAAGTATGAATAAGTCATTGCATCTAAGATGCTTATGGTACTGAGCTTAAGAAGGAGCAAATATCGGCACGAATTAGATAATAGAGATTTTCCCTTAATCCATGTTCTGCTATACAATCGTTAACATATTGTTTTTATAATCTTGCAACATGTTGCTACAGAGTATAAAAGTTTTGTTCACCTAGCGGTTGTTTGTATCACCTAAAACTATTCAAGATAGATAGAGGGTATACATATATAAATGATAAGGATGATGAGATGAGTTGAAATCCAGGTGACTGTCTGTTCGTCTGTCCGTCTATCCGTGCAAGCTGTAACTTTAGTAAAAATTGAGATATCGTAATGAAACTTTGTACACGTGTTCTTGGGCAAATAACGAGTTCGTAGATGGGCGTAATCGTAATAATTTATGTGTTATCCCTCTCTCCTAAACCACTTAAGCTATTATAGCCTAATTTACTCAGGACTAATATTTTTTGTACCCCTACCGACAGTGTGCAAATGGGCGAAATCGGCTGAAAACCCGGCCCACTCTTTATATAACTATTTAGATTAAAACTACTAAAAGCGCGATAACTCTTTAGATAAAGAAGTCAGAGACTTTAAATTTAAAACCCGAGTTGGTACGAGATGGCTTCAAAATTAGACAATGGGCGTGGCAACGCCCACATTTAGGTGATTTAAAAGAATATCGGAACCTGCTCGACAAATGTCAACTAAACTATGACCAAAATTATCCAAATCGAACCAAATCCGTTTAAGCATCAGGTACCGACTATATGAAGTTCTTATTGCGAATTTTTATCGAAAATATCGGTCAATCTGTGAGATATATTATAGAAACTCAGAGATAATCTTTATCTAATATTAATATGCCCGTGTGCCAAAAATGGATTGAATCGGATCAATAATTTCCTTAGTCCCGATATCCCTAATCGAAAAATTTTCGAACATCCAATGTAACATAAAATGGATAAAATGGCCCTAGCCGCCATATAAATAATATCAGAATCAAAATATCCGGTTGACTTTATCCTGCATATATTGGTGATGGTATGGGAGGTAACTTAATGAAACTCAGATATCATCTTTTTCTATGGTAATGGCAAAAAGGATAAAAGCAGTTCAATACTATCTTTATCTCTCATATACCAAATATAAGATTTGCAAACTTTATACCGTATATATCAGTAAATATGTAAGATATCTTAAAAAAAATTAACTGAATGGATAATGTTGGACATACTATAGTGTAATGCCGAAAATATGTGATATTGGTCTACGAATTACCCAAACCCTTATATACCACACATAATGATTTTCGTCATTATAACAAACCCTATGCTAAGTCGAGCAGTGTAAAAGTTATATATTTATAAAATTAATTAATTGAAGAAATTTCCCTTCCTCACTGTTTTTTTATACTCTGAACAGGGTATATAAAGTTTGCCACCCAAAACGAAATGTCGAATATAGTGTATACAATATCAGAATACTGTAGGATATAAATTGACCAATCAAAATCATCCTTGTAGGAAAAACTTTGAAAAAGACCTTTATAAAAGATTTTTTTTTGTATTAAGAAATACAATACGACTTAAAGGTTGTTTATATCAGACAACGGGGCTAAATAGAGGTTGCAAGATTCCGTTAGATGCGAACCGTTAGCCAGTTCCGTTTCCAGATTTATTTATACATGTGAAGGGTCTTAAAGCTTCTGTTCAGCCGAAGTTAATGTTTTTCTTGTTTATCCTTCTTTAGTATGTCAGTAGTTGTAAGTTATTATAGTTCACCTATTCGAACCATTTTCTCAAATTTGGATGACCATCATATGGCTAGGGGATCTTCTTTATATTTGCTAAGGATTTAAGTGAAAGATTATTGGCTAAAATCCGACGGCAATCAAAGTTTGCTCCAAACCAGGCAGATCAGATCAACAAAATGATAGTATTAGTTTACTAATCTAATATGAAAATGATAAAAATTTTGATTAAAAAGCATATATGAATAATGATGATGAAAATCTTAAATTTGTCCCATTTTCTTATGAATTTTATTTTATAGAATGAATTTAGATGAAAATGCTATATATGTATGTATGTACATACATTTCACTCAATAGTCCCAAGCAGATCTATTTGTATTTACATATACATACACAGATATATACATACGCTCTTTATAACTATCTAAATCATTCTCTCTTCCACTTAATTCATACGGGTAGTTTGTCGTTTGCTTAACTTCTACCGTAACTGATAAGTAATATTCCAGCTATTTATCTGCAAAAGCATACTTACATAATACATACTTAAATGAAAGGGAAAATGCGCGCGAAGTGTTCAGAAGCAAACCAAACAATATGACGCAAATACAATTGGAAACGTGAAAGAGGGCACCTGCAACAGTTGGCTTAATGTAGATTAGGAGGACACAAGACCAGAACAAGAACAAGAGCTAACATCATAAGTTTCGATAACAGAGTTTATTAACATTAATTTTGATAAGAAACGATAATTTGGGTTTCAAGCACTATCATACATTATCTCTTGGTAATTAGATAGAACAAACGGACGACTGAGTGCCATGTAATGTTTTGCTTTAATAATTTTGGGTGTATTAGTGATAATATACTTGTAGTTATTTTAGCATAGTTTAATGTTAAAATATAATTTATGTTTGAACATATAATATGTGATGTATGTTTTTTCATACCAGTTTTCTTTTGCTTTATGAAGTCACATATGTATGTAAAAAAAAAGATACTCAAAAATATAGCAGTACATGTACACAATATCAAAAAACATTTAGTCATAGATATGTGCAAACTTAAGATTTATCGATATTTTTACGATATATCAAACAACCAAATTAATTATATTTTATCAAAATTTTTCTTTCACCGAATAAATTATAATTTTCTTCAATCACGTACAATTGTTAAACAAACATGCAGTGTAATGAAATCGGCGTCTAATTATAATCGCAAGTACTTTTCTAATTGGCCTCCTACAAATGGAATTTAATCTTTAGATTTAAAAAAAAATACCTTAACAAATCTTAGGTTTTGAACTAAGTGTGAACCACATCCACATACAGCAGCATAAGAATGTCGTCCCAAAAAATTCATATATACAATTTCGAAAATTAATATTGTTATGCCAATTATAAAATGCAACCCTGTGTTGTATTTCTAATTCACCACATGGTAAAAAAAAACTTGAACTAACTTTATTCGTTAACATATCACCATTTCTGTCATTCTGCGAACATTTTATGAGTACGAGCGAGACAAATACGTATACAATTCAAATAAGAGTATCATAAAAAGTGCACAATATGGAAAATAGCGTAGTATTCTCGAGTTGGATTTTAAATTATTAGCGTGAGTTTTTCAATCCGATTGTTAGAATTAGAAGCGATTACTGCGGAAAAGTGGCTTTGAACCTTCGAAAGCGGAATGCCTCTGGTGCAGTTAAAATGTAACAACACCACAAGTTATTATCGAGTAAATTCAAAGCAAAATTTTAGGTAATCATTCGTATGCAAAGTCAACGAAACAAAAACAAAAAGCAACAATATACTCTCCTATAACGTCATTTTTCGGCGAACAACATCAACCTAGTAGAGTGAATGCGTCAATGTGAATGTTCAAAGACGTTAAATATGGTTTATTCGCTCTTGCCTGTGGTAGATGAAGGCAGATTTTAGAGTTTGTTTACAATTTGTTGGTCACAGAGTATTTTTACAACAACCATAACAATAGCAAGAAAAAGCAGGCACATCACAAGCACCAATAACAATAAAGTAATTTTTTAGTGATGTCATCAGAAGTTTCGTTTCGTGGTCGCTGTCGTAGTTGTCGACGTAGTTTCAAAGTTTCTGTTGCTATTGGATTGTTGCTGATTTTTTTCTTCAGCTGAAATTTATTTGCTATATCAAGTGCTGTTAGTGTTTTTTCTTTATCAAATATCCAAATTTTGATATTATAGTCGGAATACATAACTAGCTTAAGTCATGTGTAGAAAAAAAATTTGCTTTTGTGGTTGTGAAGTTTACTATGAGTTTGTGATTTGTGATTTTTTAATCAAAATTTGAACATAGTTCTTGCAAAAATGCAGAAATTGATGACGAAGTTAAAATAGTTTGTAAAGTGTTTAACTCTCAAGATATTTTGACAAAAGGTTGAGCAAAATCCATTTGCCAACATGTGCTTTGTAACTTGTATAATATAATAAATTGTGGTGTTGATGTAGTGTGTTAATGTGCTCTATTTTGGAGGGTATTTTCATTTAATTAAGATTACGTTATTATGCTTTATTAAAGATTTGTTTGGATTACCCAGAGTTTTCAAAAATATACTTTAAATAACTATTACAACTCAAAACTGTTTGCCACAACTGCGAACAGTAAAAATTATTTATAATTCTTCCAGAGTAAGTGAATACTTAATGTGTACATAAAAACCATTTGAGAACCTAAACATTTGTTTGCCCTTGACTTTTCCCCCCTTCAAAGGGGTGAACAGTAGACAATTTCGAAGAACATATTCAAAACAATAATTAAAATTTAAATAATTCAAAAAAAAAATGGAGTATATTAATTTATGATTACATGTAGGTTGATTGATATTTCATATTCCTTCTTTTTTTATGATCATATTTAATCCGCTAAATAAAAATCATTAAAAAACGGCTAAAAACAAACTTTTGATGAATAGTTAAAGGGGATTAATAGCTAATTAAAAATGAAGGCAGGTAAAAAAATCGAAGGGAAGGAATAACCCAATAAAAATACGTATATCATTAATCACCTCTTACCATGCCTTATAAAAAAACTTATCTAACATCTGTGTAGCAGAAGTTCGACATCCTCGAAACAACTCGTTTCCTTTACCTTCTGTTCGATGACCTTGATGACACCTAATTCACTCAAATAGGGTCTAGGTAACCGGTACAAGAACACCAACACATGTATAACAACAAAATTATACCAAAAGTATAACAATTGCTATTGCACAATAATTATACTCAGAAAGGAGACCTATATATTCATAAGACATCCTTTTTTAATATCGCCTTTAATATCGTGACTGATTTTTAATTAGTAATTAAATATTAAGAAAATATGTTTCAAATTTACAACCTCTTCTATTGAGAATATGAAGTCGAATTGAAATCAATATTTAAAAAAAAAATGTTTATATTCAAGTTTTGTTATATGCTATAGTATGCCAATTACAACGTATTCAATACAAAAAAAAAATTACGTCACTGCTTAAATTTTTGGCACACATATTTACAAGGTTTTGCCAATTCGCGACAGACATACATATATGTAAAGTATTTACAAAATTAGCGCCAAATTTTGTACTGCGACATCGAAAATTTTGGAGCTAAGTTAGAGCAAATAAGATAATAGGGTAAATAGCACGTGCACGTCCATACATATCACGCAACTTATATTTTTTGTCGCGTATGGAGTGACTAGCAATTACGATATGTAGTAAAATATATCAATATTTATGTATATTGGGTTTGCATATTGTTAGAACTTAGTGTACACATAGTATGTACAAATGTATATTTACTTACGAGCATAAGAAGTAGTAGAAGTCACAGCCAGTAAAGTAAATCAATTCATTACTTGTTGGTTGACTTTAAGTGCGGTCATAATAATCCATATGCTTTGTTTGACGAGTTCTCCTAACTATTTGCTGACATCAATGACGTCACCTCATAAAAATACATCATAGAGGAAGGCACGTATGCGAAAATATTAGATGAAGGCGCGTTAAAAGACTGTCAATCTTTGCGAAACAACCATGAACAACTGCAACTATATATTTGTAGAATCAAATATTATATATAGAGTATATGTATAGGTAGTGCTTTTACGTGATATCCGCAACGAATAGTTAACAAATAGATGTATTTATATGGGTGGTTTGGAAGTATATTAATAAAAAATCATTTTCCGCCAGGACGTTTTCGAATATTTTGATATAATTTTCCATTGCCTCCGGCTTGTTGTCTATCGAAACAGAGCGAAGAGCGGGAACATAAACATATACATAAATGATGACGAGCTGAGTCGATTTAGCCATGTTCCTCTGTCTGTATGTACGCGAACTTGTCCCTCAGTTATTGAGATATCAATCTGAAATGTGGCATGAATTATTGAACAAGGCAACGATAAAATCTTCCTACAAATTGTTCAGACTGGATCACTAAAGCAACTGACCGATCAAAATCAAGTTCTTGTAAGAAAAATTCGAACGTGTGAAGGGTATGATAGCTTCGGTGCACCCCAAGTTAAAGCTTTTTCTTGGTTTGACTATTTTTGTTTTTAAACTATATATACTATCTACATACCGTAACCACTTCTTGAAATTATTTGCTTTTTGTAGTGAAAATTACGAGTATAATGTGCAATGAACTGCGAAAAAGCAGAAAATTACTTTTCATTTGAATCTTGACGAATGGCACGCGTGATAAGTAATTGCGATTTCGGTTGGTGACGACATCCCTCAACAATTGGGTTTCAGACTTCGTAGCCTTTTTTTCAAAAATAAACATTCTTGACAATAAAATATACATTCTACATGTTTACACACCTTAAATGGCTGCGGGATATTCTATATTTCATTTCGCTTTTGTGAGGTGTTCCAAATGTATGTGCGAGTTATAAACGAAATGTTGATGACGTGTCCGTGGTGATATTGTATAGTGATATCAACAAAACAGGCAAATATGCACTATATATTATATATATAAACGATGATGTTGATATATGCTCGTAATATATATGTAGTGTATATATCGAATTATGTTGACGTTGGTGCGCGATCATGGTATACAATATACAATTTCCAGTTCGGTTCGTTGCATTTAGTTCATTTTTATTTATTTTTTATTTGTTTATTACTTTGTGTGATGAAGTTTGGCGCTCTTTTTATACGTATGCGTATCATTTGTACATAAATACATTGAGAATATTCATTCATACAAACACACGGTAAAGACTTGTATTCATCATAGCTGGTGCAATATGTTTTCATTCTATCATTAAAATCCGTTGAACTGCCTGTTCGCTGCTTCTCTGTTGTGATTACTGCCGGCGTTGATAGCCACCGACCAATTGGCAACACGATCAACTCTACGCATATGAATATTCGTTATAAATTCGAAGTCGTTCGGTCGCTTTTGCTGCTGATCACATTGCTGACGCTATGTCTCGCACCCAAAGCGTCTGCCGTTTATGACGCTGCTTTAGGCGTTTTGGTGAATGTGACGATGTGACTCGCTTGCTAGCTGCTGATCGGCGATATGGCGAGCTACTGCTGCCAGTGACTCATACGATATAGTGGTATGTGAATATAATTGTTCCTCTGTAGTACGGTATTAATTTCGCATATAAAGCCAGCAGACGACAAAGTTGTTTTGTTTTCGTTGTGTTTTGTGTGTTTGTTCATCTGTGGGCATTCTGTTGTCGTCAGTTTTACCTCCTTTAAAAATTATTTTATATTGATGATGTTGCCATTTTGATAATTCTGATTATCTTTATCAGGTGAAAAATTGTGTGATTGTTTTTTGGTGAACAATTGCCTACGTAGGCAGTGCAATTCAATTAGTTAATTCGAGTTTCGGTTTTTGACGGCTTTCTAGGTAAATATTTTTTTTGGACTTTGACATATAAAATTACTTTATTTCAGTGCAAATAAAGTGTGAATGAAATTTCAATTATTATAGAGAAAATAACCCAGTAGTTTGTGGTGATATTAAATAATAATATTGAAATAGTTTTTGAGAAGTACAGCCGGGTTAACAATTATTGACCTTTTATAAATTTAAGCCCTTCAGTCAAAATATATGTATGCACTAAATAATCTTGAGACAACAATGGGATTGGAAAGATAATTGAGATGCGATATACCATTATCATTATACTAATATTTGTCTAAGGGTAAAAGCATGAAGTTTCACATTACTGAGTAACCCTTATCAAGCATCAATATTATTCGAAACCTGTGTCACAGAATTTGATTGAATAGTTAAAAATGTTGCAAAACTGTTTTGGGGAGTCTACTTTATCACGAACACAAGTATTTGAGTGGCACTAAGCATTCAGTTAAGGTCGTAAAGTCATCGAAAACTTGCCTCTTGCGAGTTGTCCATCTTGTAATTATTAATGTATGGAAAATTGGATTAAACGTTGGAACCGTTGTATTGGCCCATGAGTCCATTTCGAAGGCGATAATAAAAATTTGTATTAAATTAAGTGAAAATGTATTTTTGTTTTTGTCCGTCCCGGTCAAATTTGATCAGATGGTATACTACAAGATATACTTGAAACAGATTCTAATTTCGATATTATTAATATTTTTTAGAAAATTTAATTTCATCCTTCGTGTGCTTTATAAATCATAATATTTATTATTTCATTTATTTATTGACAAAATCAAATATACAAAAGTGTATATAATAATTAAAATAATTCGTGTGCTTTATAAATTATAATAATAATTATATTTTTTTATTTTTTCAGCGCAAATCTCATTTTGAATGGAATAACAAAATATCAGATATACTTCGATCCGCTTGCCGCTTGTGAAATCATAAAAACTCTTACTAAGCTTTGAACATTTACAACAAACCAAATCAAAGAAACTTGAATTAGCACCAAAGTTCGATATTAGTCAGTAGCAACCAATAATTATTTTGCTTTTCGTAGTAGCATATTGACTACGATTTTGCATCTTTCTGGGTTGCTCTTATAAAGAAAAAATTTGTCAAACTGAAGCAGTTGTCGCAAGACGTGACGGTGCTGTTGAAAATTAAAAAAATGGACAGCATCGGTGAGGAGAACGGCAACTCGAACAATATTGAGGAAGGTCACAATTTGACGACTACCTCAACGCAACAGCAGCAGCACCAAAGTAATAACTCCTCAAATTCAACGGCCGGCAATAGTGTAGCAACATCAGCCGCCGGTAGTGGAGCCACTGTATTGACTACAACAGCGAGTGTGCAATACCCCTTAGCAGCACCGGTGCACAGTTTACAGGTAATATATATAATACTATATATTTTGTCAAGCAAATAACTGTCATCCCTCTTTTGTATAATACTAATTCACTTATTGTCTATAAACATAGCAAATGCAGTCTGTCATTCAGGCAGCCAATCAGTCGTCAGTCATTCAAACAGCCGCCACAAATGCTGTGACCGCGGTGACGACAGGGACGATAGGTGTACCTAAGGGTGGGGTATTATATGTGAATAAACCACCTAGTACAACGGTAATACACACAACATCAGGCAGTGGTGTACAGGTGAATTAATATGAAAATTACATATTTTTCTTCAAAATGAAAAAATCGGTTAATACAAATGTTTCTGTTATTAACTCAGCTCCCTCCACATTTTCAATGTAAAATCAAACCCGAACCAAATACACAACACCTCGACACTAATAGTGAAGATAGTCTCACTGACGAGGACTCACCGCAGCGACGAATAGAGCTTACAAGAAGGCCATCGTACAATAAAATTTTCACCGAAATTAGTGGACCTGATATAACAGGTAATAATAAAATATGTTGTATTTTTATAATACAAATAATTTTAACAGGAATCATTAGTTTAGCGTTTTTATTTGTTATCATTATCTTCATTGATATCTTAAGTTGCGTCATCATTAAATTTTATTGTGTTCTGCACGGTTGGCGAAAATACATTAAGTCATATAAATGAAAATATCGAAAGCATATACATATATATATGTATATATAAGTATATACATATGTCATACATACATCCAAATTATAACGATAAGAAAAGGAACCTGACTTCCTTTCACATCTGTATCTTTCACAGGTGTATATCTTATAGCATAAAAGTGTATAAGAAGATTTGATAGATCAGTTTGTATGGCAGTGATATGTCTGATTCGAACAATTTGTTCGAGATTGTAACGTTGCCTTTGACAATAATTTACGCCAAATTTCATGGGGATTCATTTTAAAATAAAAAAGTATTCCATACAAGCGCTGGAGTTTGATCGGTCAGTTTCTATGGCAGCTGTATGCTATAGTTGTCCGATCTGAAAAAATTGTTTGAAGATTGTAGAGCTGTCTGGGGCAATAATCTGTGTCAAATTTCGTGAAGGGACCTTGTCATAAAAAAAAATTTCCATACGGGGACTAAAAAGACATAGCTGTAAAATCAAAGTAAACACACCGTTGCAACGCTTAAAAATTATGGAAGTTAAAAAATAAATGCAAATTTCAGCGATGTATAATTCTGGATTAACGGATTTTTGGTTACTCTAGTTTAGATAGAAATTAATTACTTATAAATAAAAAATGCATTATTTTCTAAAGACATTTGTATGTATGTATGCATATAAACAAGCTGGATATCTAATTTTTAGTCTACAACGTGTATTTTATCATCGTCATACTCATCGCTAAATTTTGACACTATTTTACCATCATAGTCACCATCGCCAGTATCACTGCATGAATTTCGCGAAAAACACTTTCTTGAAATGTACGTATATATGTAAATGTACTACATGCTCATCCCATCATCTTTATCGTAAAAATAACCTTCTTATCCATATACATTTGTATGTAGGTATTACTCAACACATCACTCTATTTGTCATTTCCATTATTATGACTTAGAATATGTTTTCTTTAAATATTTGTCTCCTCTGTTTATCTTGTAAAAATTTACTTTTGTTAATTACACATTGATGTAAATAATGCATCCGTATCATAACTAGGCTGTCATCAACGCTTTGCATTTGTCATATCTCACTTTGAGTGGTGGAGTTACGCATATTTTGAAAAATTCTTTTAACGTTTGTTTTGTTTGTCTGTTCCTGTTTTAATTTTATAATCGAATCGAAGAGAGCTTATAGTAGTTAAAAACAAATACAAGATATACGAATATTGTCATTTTAATCCTGCTCCTACTGCTGACATTGCAAGGTCGTTCGTCTCTTTACAAGTAAATGAAGTTATTAACAGACGCTAAAACTTTACGAAGCTCACACACAACACAGACAAAGCATGTGGAAACATCATGAGAAAATAACTATATTTAACGAAAGACATTGTTTTATATCTCAATGAGACGTAGTGCAGTTATTAGCTATTCCATAAGGTCTAGTTAGGAGTAACTCTTACTTAATTTCTTTCGTATCTTCTTTTGAATTTTCCCCAATACGTTTACCATTTTTTTTTTATAAAGTATCTGATTTAGAGTATCATAGATGCTTAAGTTGAGGAAATTGCAGTTATCAACTTGAACCTAAATGTGGTTCTTCTGAAGGTTGAAGGATAATGCTAAAGAAATATTAAAATTGCGAATTAACTTCTCAGGTTCGATAACAATTTATTCGATGTTTGTTGTGAAGTTATGTTGGAATACTATTAATAATAAAAACACTGCGCTAAATGTTTCCAATTGGATTGTTTTCTAAAACATTAAACATTATGCATTGTCATTTTCCATTAATTTTGTGCTAATTTGATTTTAAAAAAATTTAAAAATTTTGTAAACTAACGATATGTTCTAACAATGATAATTTTAAAAATATTTAATTATTACTTAAATAATTAATAATAAGAAGTTGAAAATCTTGTCACGTTATTATCATTGTATATATTATTGCATCTCTGTTTTGCCCACGCGCTCTCATTCGCTCTCTCTCTCTTACTCTCTTCTTTTTTTTTTTGATAAACACAGTTAATAACTGTTATACGCTCACAGTCTGTTAATGGTGGTGATTTATCTTTACATATTATTCAACTATGGGACACAGGATAATGTAAAGCATTAACCCATGCGTGTCCTTTTAACTTTAGTAACTGCGAATACTATATGTTCTATGTGCATCTTACACCACTACGTCTTCACTGTTGTCTCCGGTCTCACTATTCTCTTTGTGATTTTCACTTATCTACCACACTCTATGTATCTCTCTCTATATATATATATATATATCCGTCTATGTCTCTGTCTGTCATGTTGTGTGTGTTTTTTACGGCGCTCTGTAAATTTTTTGTGATCTCAATTTTATCGCTTTTTGCTGAGCACACATAGATAAATTTACTGTCATCATCGCATCGATTGTTGCTATTCACTAAATATCGAAATGCTCAACTCAACTCAGCTCAACAAGCCTATGTAATATCTATAAACTTATAAGGAAAGCACTAACATTAAATTTAAGGCTTCTTTGATACATATTGCAGAATCCATAACTCATCATAAACGTACCTAAATCAAATGAATAAAATAAAAATCGTCATATGTAATGTGCAATAAATACATTATATTCATAAATGTGTGTATGTATATAGAGGTTTGCACTGAAAGTGTTTGAATCCATTTCTAATTGTCAATGAGTAAGCTAATGAATTGTTATTGATCTTATTTTCGACTTTTTCCAAAACAAAAACAAATCCTACTCCAATACTTCAACTTCGCCTCTTCTCAACTCTCGATGCAATCCAACCCTGTCACAATCAAACTCTGCAATCATAATTATGCGACATATGTTGATAATTTTCAACGATCCCCCCACCAACACTTTGAATGGCAAACATACATGCAATAATCCAAAACAAAAAAAAAATAAAAAATAAACGAATGCAAATTTTAAATGCTGAATTACTGGCGATGGTGATATCTGCAAAATTTATCGATACACGTTGATCGATTGCGATGACAATGATTGATAATTTATCTACTCTGTGGTCATGTGTAATAACGATTGAAAGGTGGAGCGACTTTGCAAATGTCAGAGACTGGTGGACTACACACGTTGTCGAGCACGGGGGGCGGTACAAGCGGCACCCTAATACAAATGCCGCCGGACAATGCGGCAGCATTTTACATACCTCATAGGATTCCATACAATACTAGTAAAGAACGTTTCCAATTATTATTATTTTTTTACTATTAAATAATATATTCGTATATATATAGAGAAAGTTATGATATTATATATTCAGTTAGCGTGCGATCGCTGTACGCTACTTGGCAAATAAGGTTTTAATATATTTTTAATTTGTTTACTTTGCACAGATAATAGTGGCATAGCTGAGGATCAAACGCGCAAGCGCGAGATACGATTACAAAAAAATCGGGAGGCGGCACGTGAATGTCGGCGTAAAAAGAAGGAATATATAAAGTGCCTGGAAAATCGTGTGGCAGTGCTTGAGAATCAAAACAAAGCGCTCATTGAAGAATTGAAATCACTCAAAGAGCTCTATTGTCAAACAAAGATCGATTGAGACCGGCAGGATGATGACGACGATGCGGTTGGGACGGAAGTGGCGGCTACAGATAACTATGAAAACGATGTCGACAATGTCGCAGATACTGTAGTTGCAGATAATGCTGCGGTATCAAGTGTAGATTTTGCCGTTACAAGTACAAATTGTGAAAATGCTGCTGCAAATGGAGTTTTTAATAGCAATGCGTTAAGTGAAACGAAAGCACTTACTGCTGATAATACATTACAACAATATGATGATGGTGATAATAGCAACTGTTGTAAAGACGATCCTACGGTTGAATGTGTTGCAGCTGAGCAAACTGATTTTCAAGTGAACAATCGATTGCAAGTGTTGGATGTAGGGAAAGCAGTGCCATCTGTAGCAGCAGCAGAAGCAACAAAGACTACAACAACCATTGTGCGCCGCATTGTAGTTGCAAATATGAATGCTGTTGCCGCCGCTGCCGTCAAAGCCACCGCCGCTACCGTTGTTTTTGTGCCCGCAAGACCTCCCACAAACTGTTAACCTGATACGGCGAAGAATTAGTACTCTGCACTAATTTTTCGACTCAACAAATTTTTTTGAAGAAAATCAAAAAAAAAAAACTTACATACACACACACACACAAGAAAACACATGCGAGAAAATTGAGAAGAGGATAAAGAACTTTTTTGTAATTAAAAATTTGTATCTTAATATTTAAAATGAGATGAGATCATATATGAGACAAGTGATGCATTTGTATAGTGTAAATGCAATTCCCTATGTTATGATAACATAAAGCAATGGTAATTGTATGCCACTGTCAAAGTGCGATGCCGACCTGAAGACGGTAGACGGACCGACTAGAAGTTGGTTAATATATATATATATTTTTTTAAATAATAACGCAGTAACTGATTGCAAAATTAATTTGTAACAAATTTTAATTTTAAATACAATTTTAAATAGAAATGAAATTTGTTTCTAAGTTTGTATATGCTGTTGTTTAATGGAAGTAAGTGAAATAACGAAGAATGCTTTTGATACCGTGGCTCTGTAGATAATGATAATGAAATGCAAGTACTTTAATAAAAAATTCATTAAAGAAAAACTAACCAATTTAAACACAGAAGATCTTGTGAAGAAAATATTTATAAAATAAATAAAAAATAAAATAATTATTAAATAAAAGAAATTGTAAAATATGATAAATTGTAATTAATTCATTGTATTGTGTATTTCTCTGTTATGTATATGTACTTGTGACAAATGAGTAAAGGTTAGAAGTAATTTGTATATGCAGGACAGTTTATTAGAGCCATCTCCAGCAGTCTTGGCAAAATCGTGGCAGCTAGTCGCCAGATTTTCCAACATGTATGTGTTTTAGTTTAATTGAATTTGTTGCTTAAGTGGCACACATCATATTTTGTTGCCAACAAGATTTCTTATGCTTAATTTTATTTTAATTTTTTATTGTACATTATACTTAATTATGAAGCTCTTTGTTATTATCATCATTTAATTAATTTAAATAAAATAAAATAAAAAACAATGTAAAAAAGGTTTAGAACGAAGTTAAATGAAAATTTAAACAAAAAGTTATAAAATATGCATATGCTTGTTTGTTTGATTGTATATATGTATGCGAGAGAATGTAGATATATTTTACAGAAGACAAAATAAGGGGGTCGAAATTGTGAAATTTTAAAAATTACAAATGTTTAGAAATTAAAATAGAATCTCACTTGCATTTGAGGTATAATATTGGACTGTGCACACTTCAAATTAATTGTATAGCTAACTGAGTAGCAATGTTTATCCTTTCTATTTTTACATACATATGTATGTATGTTCATAAATATATTGAAAAAATTAAAAAATGCATAGCAAATACAAGTGAACTTTTGCAATTGTAGATATATATACCTTAGAGTGTCCGTTATTTCCCAAGTTCATTTTTTTTTTTTGCTAACGTTCCTGAAGTTTAATTTTACTTTTCCGATACATTATACATGGGATTTTTTGATCTCTTTTTAAATTTTTAACTTCAAAGCAAATAAACCTACAACTTTAAGAAAATGATATTCTAAACCAAGATTTTTCGTTTTACAATTTTTTTTTCATAAAAACCCCTCCTTTAAAATTTATAATTTAATGTGCTGTATTCTCACGGTACACCATGCCGTATGAGCAACATAGAATGTATGTATCACTTGTATGAATGCCAGTAACTTCGGTATAACTTTCACTGCGCATAACTTTTAAAGGAATGTTTTTTTAAGAAATAATTATATAATACCTTATTATAGAGCGTGTCGTTTTTTTTTCATTCAAAAAAAAAAACTTTTTTGAAGTTTACTTGCTTAAGAAAGATATCAATCAATGTAGGACACTTTTTTAGGACCAAAATTGAAATTTCAGGGGCATTTGAAAAAATAAAAATAAACTTGGAAATAACGGACAGCCTAATATACATAGGTGTGTCCCATTCCTCTTTCCTTTTTATTATATTGTCCTTGAAATTCCGAAATTTAGTTTGTATAAAATTATAACCGACAGTTGCTTTATTATGTAGTATGACCTTAAAAATATATAATATATTTATTACTTTTATTTTAATTTACCTGATTTTTGAAATGCAATATAAATTAATTTTGTAGATACGATTGAAATTAAATTATTATATAACAATTATATTTTTAAGGTTCAAGAAACGAAAGTATAAGATTTTTGGGATGCTGCTACAGTTTCCAACATAAAAATTAATATTTATATTTAAATATGGGTTCACTTGCGAACCCTATTTCACTCATAACGAATTTTTTTATTATAAATTTGTATGTGTACATTTTTAGGCTAGATAAATGTGATTCAATTTACATAACTAAATTTTTTTGAAAATATAAAATATTGGTTTGGTGGGTTGGATGTAATTGCTAATAGGTAGAAAAATGAGGTTAAGAAGCAATATGCGAATGGTATTTTAATATAGGCTTATGATTGCTAATTACATTCAGGACATGTCTAATGAAGATGAGGCTAAAAAAAAAACATTTAAGAGAAATAAAAACCTGAGCAAAGTGCAAGTATTAGCACTTATAACTTATGTATATATTATATGTATGTACATACGTACATAGCTATATACAAATATATTTTGTCTTGAAGAGCATGGCAGACAGGCGCCAGTGGATAAAACTTGCAGCATAAAACAGTTATGCGTGATAAGCGTTAATCACAGGGCAAAGTCACTTTTTTTGATTGCAATTAAGCAAAACAATTTACTCAATGAGTAACCTTTATAAGAATAACTCAACGCTTAATAAGCATAAATTCAAATTTAAAAACTTGGTAATGTATTGCTAAAACTTAGTATAACCATAAAAACCAAATAACTATATACATAAATTATTGATAAATGAAATGCAATTAAGGAGCTAAATTTTATGAAACAATATTAAAAGAAAAATTGCACATAGTTACAAATACTTAAATGTAAAATTCTTAATAATTAAAATTTGTACATTGAATGTTTTTTCTAAAAAAAAAAATAAATAAAGAATCAGTGAATAGTGATAAATATTTGAAATTCAAATTAAAAACTCTAAAAACACATTTTAAACAGGTATACTGGCATATTACGGTACATGCACACTTACATGTGTAAGTATGTAAGTATATATATAATACATAAATATATATATGTACATACTATAAGCAGATATTTTCAATTTAAAATTAAAATACAAAGTAATTTGTAGAAATAGTTTGAAAGGCTAAAGCGATAATGTGCTAAGCCGTGAATATTAAAATGTGAAAGAACCACTTTTTATTCAAATCGATTTTAAACTTTCAACACAATTTCAAGTTGATTATTTCTAAGAAATTACAGGGAGGACTAGATATTTTGCTAAAAATAAATTGCATGTGTTTCGCGGTAATATGCCTGGTTATCAATAGGAAGCAAACAAAAAAAAAAAACAACAAAAATAGAGGGAATTAGAAAGTTTACTGTAATGGCATATTAGAAAATTATAACAATAACACCCTTTAAAACTGCAACAGGTGTTTGAAAACTAGTTTCAATTACGAAAACAACAACAAAAATTCAATCAAGCAACAATTTAAAAATAACAGGAATACTATAATAAAAATACAATATTACGATTTACAGAAATACAAAAATGAATAAATTAAATATTTTTGATGTAAATTCAATACAAAACAGCTATAGAATAAATACAAATCACAAAAACCCATACATATGCTATGAAATAAATAAATACATGCATATGTGTCTACATATGTATGCATGTTAATAAAAATATATTTCAAGAATTTAGCGAGTCGAAAGTTTTCAATAAAATGTTGCCACTAAGCAAACGGGTCGATGTTTTAAGCTACAAAAAATGCAAATACAACTTTTGTCGAATTTCATTGTTACAACCATGAATAAATGTGTGTACAACACAAATTTGTGGATATAAATTTCATTTGCGAAAACAAGTTGAAATTTTTAGATAAATATGTAAAGAAATTGCATTGTTATAATTTGTCCTAACGATAGATATTGAAATAAAAAATATATTTTAAATGAAAGACTCTAAAGCGTTCAAGATATTCTTTACATAATGTCTATTAGCACAAAAAAAAAAAGATGAGTATGTATAACACATATGTACATACATATGTATGCATGTATGTGTCAAGGAACGAAGTTCCATGATAATTCGATTGATGGATCGGTAAAATCGGTTATAGTGGATTCAAAACGGATGTTAACCCAACAGAATTGATCGAAGCTATTTAAGTATTATTTCCTTTCATAATAAAAAACTATTGTTTGCATTAAAGAAGTCAAATGGAAAGGAATTATGTTGCAATAACAATACAAAAAAACGTTTAACGATGTCAATGGTGGAGCCGCAGGAGTTTTTCGACCTATTTATAGCAAAAAAGCATATCGAAAAAGAACGTTAAGTTCGGCTGCACTGAGCTATACCCCTCACATGTGCATTTCTTATAGCATAAAAGAGTATAAAAAGATCTTTATCATGATTTTAATAGGTCAGTTTGTATGCTATAGAGATAGAGCTACAATTTCTATGGATATTATACCGTCGCCTTGGATTTTACGCCAAATTTCGTATAAATATCTCGTCAAAATTTTCCATACAAAGGCATGTATTTGAAAGTTAAGTTTGTCTGACAGCTATATGCTATAGTGTACCGATATCGGCGCTTCCGACAAATAAGCAGCTTCTTTGAGAGAAAAGAAGTTTCGTAAAAATCAAAGCCTGAATACAGCCGTCTGCCTATAAATTGTCTCAGCTCATTATGCTGATAATTTATTTACATATTTTATAGGGTCTCCGACGTTTCCTTCTGGGTGTTACAAACTCGGTGGTAAGCTTAATCAGAGAACATACAATAATTGAGAATTGTTACAAGTTCTCTAGTACAACACAGAAGTTTATTGTCCTGGTTGTAAATTTAACTTCCTAATAACTTTCACCATTCTACATTTGCGCCTTAATGTATGCAAACAATTTTGTAATTTTCTGTAGATAACCCCACAGTAAAGCAGAAATTATATGTGCGACGTTTTCTCTCAGTGTTTTTTGACAAACTGAACTCATTCACGGTAAATTCAAGAACATTCACAATCCATTTGACAATCATTTCTGGCGTTGCAACAAACAATTTGCGAAAAAATCATTTGTAGGACTAATGCAAAGATTGTAAGAATATTTGCGATAGAGATAAAATCATTAATTCAAGTTGATAAAATAGTGTGACTTAAATCATAAATGAAGCGGCTACTTTAGTAAGTAAATTGGAGTAGAAATGCGCATAATTGTAAAGTTGTGAAGACAAATCATTTGGGTAATCGGTGGTTGTGTGCAGATTCGGGATACCGAAGACCAAAATACTGAACTAAGCGGCAAGACATACAATGGCATTATCTACTGCAGGAGAAAATAGGCCACCTATTCTTCATGTGCTGGTTGTAGGATTCCATCACAAATTAGGCTGTCAGGTAGGCTGATGTAGAACGTGAAAAATGTATAAACCAACTATGCAAAACATTTTTTTTTATAAAATTTAAATACTAGGTTGAATTCTCATATCCACCGCTTATACCAGGCACAACGGGTAAAAATGAATGTCCATCTGGTTGGAAATATTTGCCTACATTAGCACTGCCCGATGGTTCACATAACTTTGCGGAAGACACAGTTTTCTTCAATTTGCCTAGTCTAACCGAACCAACGGAGAGTGTGTATGGCGTGTCATGTTATAGACAAATACCAATTGAGGTAATTATTTAAAGGAGTATAAAAAAAAGAGTTTATACTTAATTCTTATACTTTATAGAAATTAAAAATTCGCACAGCAGATATGACAAGAAGTACAGTGCAAAAATCAATTGTAGTACTCGCTCGGCTACCTATCTATGGTTATATAGAGGTTAAACTCTCGTTAATCGCGGATGCATTTTTTGAGAAAGGTGATTTTTCCTGTACGGAACTACTAATAAAAGCATACCAACAACTTAATGCCTGCTTATTGGACGATGAAACCCAACGACCACTACGTAATTTTTACGTTGGTTTGTCATTACGTGAAATCGTACTTCAGTGGCGCCACAAGGTGCTCATTCTTTTTAAATTGTTCCTGTTGCAACGTCGAGTTGTGTGCTTTGGTTCACCGGTACGTGGTATGTGTGTACTAGTGCTGGGCATTGCATCATTAATACCACGTCTGCTAGAGAAAGGCTTTCAAGAGGTGGCTTGCGTGCGAACATCACGACCATTATCACCCATGCCGGATTTCACCGATTCTATTCAGCAGGAGACAGTAGAATTAAAGCAAAGAGAAGATTTAACTGCTTTGGATAAAAATGCTCAACAACCAACAACAAAAATAGTGGAAGAAGTTTGTGAGGGTGAAGACGATAACGGCGGTAGTGCCGCCGGTGACACAGTAGACGATTGCACTTTGGTATCATCTGCTATGTCAGCAGCGAGCCAAGCGGCTACTGATGACACATCAACTAACACAACATCGTCGCAGTCAACACGAGAGCTGAACCGCCTTGATTCATTGGAGGGTGCCGGCGACGTAGGAAGCAAACGATTTGCACGCAGCGATTCGCTAACTCGCGAAGGCAGTGTAGATACTTTGGCATGTAAGTTCGTAATATAGTAAGCAAATATATATATATTTAGAAAAGTTGTGCGTGATAAAGCCCTATCAAAAACTAAGAAAGTACATATCTATACATTTCATTAAACTATAGTCGTTTTGAGTTTTATTATTGAGATTTGAGACAAGGTTATTGAATGTTTTTTTTTTTTTTTTTTTTTTTAGCATTATTGCTAAACTTGTTTGGGCAACTAAATATTATTTTGCAAATTTTGCTTTTGTACTTTTAGCAACGCTATGCACATTATCCTCGATAAACCCAGACGAATATCGCGCACCAATTTCAATTTTCGCCAGTGGCAATCTTTTCTTGCCATTTCTTTCATTGCCATATATGGATTTACTTAGTGATCCATCTGTACTGAGCTATGTCATTGGCACTTCGAATGTATTGTTTCAACAGAAACGTCAACTTGCCGACGTGTTGGTGGACGTAGAAAATGCCAATATAGATGCGCTTGATGGAGAAGTACGACGTCAATTGGTTTTAAGTACTGAGGATTTACGGTTCATGGACTATTTGCTTAAACATGTGCAATCGCCAAAAGAGGACGCTGAGGGCAGTGAGCATTGGATACGTGATCAATTTCAAGGCTATATATTAGCACTGTTGCGTACGTCAGTGTCCATCGGTAAGGAGAATAAGGCTTACTAGATTTTATGTTTAATTTCTAATTAAATTTGCGTTAATGCCGCTTTTCAGATGTTACTACCAAAGACAACGAACACTTCAATGCACATTTTATGCAGGCATTTAAACGCACACAATGTTTTCAAGAATGGTACGATGTGCGACCTGATGCTGAATTTTTCGACACCTTGCCTGCCGGACATCCATTTGCGGGTACACTTTCTGTAGCCGATATGAAATTAAAAATTGCACAGTAGGTCATACAATATTTTTCTGGAAATAATACTACAATATATTGCATTACATTTTTGTTTCAAGAACAATGCAAAACAGTGAAAGTGGTCGCAAAATCAATCAAGCCGTAAACACAACCAGTCGCGTAGTTGGTAAGTACAAAACACAAAGTATATACATATGTATATGAATGAGGGGCAAGAAATGTAATTAAATTTGTCTACCAACATGTAGGAGTTGCACTCTCGCAGGCGAAGGGCACATTCTCCACCTGGTGGTCTTCTATCACCACACCTCCCACACAGGCTGCTACTCCCGCAGAAGTTGGTGATGGAGAGAACAGCACAGCGGTATCTGCCAAACCGATTGTGGAACAACAATTGACGGAACAGCCACAAGAAATCTCGATTACATTCCAAAAAAACAGTCAAGATCCAGATCGCGTAAATATACATATAGAGGGCGAAAAGAAATTGACCTGCACTGGTAGTAATACCAGCAGTAACGGCAGTGAAAAACCTATTGACAGTGCTGAGGAATTAGGCGAAGATGAAGTTGTTTTGGACAATAAGAATTTGAGTGGAGAGGTCGATAGTAAAACAGATATTAGTGTAGAACAATTGCAACAAGGCATTGTTGAGATTGGGCGTGAAGCTGATGTGTTAAATAAACCTAAAGCGGCACCACTACAAACCCCAACTTGTGGCACAGATGTGGCAAATGAAACACCACGAGACAATGGTGATGTATTTATTGTATAAATTCGTTAAAAAAAAATATAAATTTTCATTTGTTAAATTTTTTTCTGAAATGTTTTCATCGATATTTATTCATTATTGTGAACTTAATTTAATAATGTTAAGAAATGTTTAGTTCTCAAACGGAAATTAGTTCGTTTAAAACAAGTAATTTCAATTAATACGGCCCGTATTAAATTCTATTTTGCATCATTTATGTATATTATATTATGGTATATAATATATACTAATCGCCATAAGTTTGCGCCAAAGTACTTTCAAGATTATTTTATTTGTTGGTATAATTGAAGTCCAATTTAATTATTATTTAAATTTAAGAACGCGCTTAAGTCAAATTTATGAATTTCATACTCTTAACAGCTTTACTTAATAATAACCGTGATTTTGAAATAATTTTTCAGTGTGAGATTTAAGCCAAACGATTCACGAGTGGAATTTAAAAACGTTTAAAGACAAAATGAATTTCTGATAGGCCACCTATTCGATCGCGCACGATTTTTTAATTTTAATTTTTGTATACTTTTTTTATTTAAGCTAAGCTCTAAATTGTCCTATTTTAGAATTGTATAAGTATATTAATCGGTAAATATTTGAAGCTGTTCCAAGTGCAATTTAAATTTAACTAACGAATTAACAACCGATGACCTATGAAATAAAGCTATAACAGAAATTAATTTGTAACTGTGTGTGGCAATAAATAAAAAATATATTGAACAGAAAATAAGAACTCAGTAAATTACATATAAATATGATAAATTGTGCAATGAAACTAAACTCTATTGCTATATAAATGTAATTTCGCCAACATAAGGAACTTTCAAAATCCAAAAAATAAGTTATAGAAAATTACAGCGCTTAAAAATTGATTTTACTTTGTTGTTTTTCTATAACAAAACAGTGAGTTATAATTCAAATTATATTTGCAATATACTTGAAGTGTGTTGAAAAAGTCTTCAGCGAAATTGCATTTAATAGCAATGTTCATACGTTTATAGTAATAAGCCCAAAGAAAAAGTCTCAAATCATAACAATATAAAAAAAAAAACATTTAAAGGCAGAACATTGTACGTATTTGGACAAGTTATTGATAATATTATATATAGGTATAGCAATTTAATTATATGATCATTATGTGTATTTGCATTTGTAATAAATTATTGTGTATTTAATATGGAGAGATGATACAAAGATCATAAATTAAATTCCATTTCATTACTATATAATATAAAATGTATTTAATTAAGTCTTTACCTCCTCTTCCTCGATTCGTTTCAGCATTGTTTCGCGTTGCTCTATTTCTTCAATGAATTGCAATAATATCTGATTTGCTTGCTCAAGTTTCGACTCGTATTCATTAAGACATGCTTCGCGTTCATCTGCAATCGTTTTATATTCCAATTCAGCGCGATTCATTAAATCTTCATTTTGTTTTTCTAATTTTTCTAGAGCCAATTGTTTCTCATGCTTTGTATTTTTTAAAGAATTACAATCAATTTGTAACTGTTGTATGCGTTCCTCTAGTTTATGCAATTGTGCATTCAGAACGGTACATTGTGTTTGCATTTGTTTTGCTAATTCTTTACTGTCACGCTCTGCGTGTTTTATTGCCATTTCTAGCTCAGCACATGTTGATTTCAAATATGTATTTATATTGTGATTCATTTGAAGAGCTTGTTTATCAAGTGCCTGCTTTTGCTGTATCATCTGTTGTAGTTGGTTTTGGGCATTTGCGCGTGTTGCCTCTAATATTTTTATGCGTTCTTTTACATCCTCAAACTGTGGATTGAGTGGCAACTGCAATACACTCGCATCACATTGCAGTTTGGTGCAGCTTATATTGCGTATATGATCGTTATATTTGACAATTTGATCGGTCAATTGTTTTTTGTGGCGCGATACTAAAACTTGTTGATGGTGTTGGCTACCCTCCAGATCACGTAAAGTACGTTCCATTCGTTGTAGCGTGTACTTACGTTGTTCTAGCTCCTCTATAAGGGCATCACGTCGCTCTACGCTAACTGTTTGTTTAGAAAGGATTTTTTGTATTTGTTCTACTTTTTGTAATAGGTGTGTATGTTCGTTTTTATATTCGCGTTTCTCCTCTTGTAATTCAGTTAATTTATTAGTGGTTATTTCTAAACTTTCTTGTGCCGTCTGTAGCTGCTCTTGTATTTCTTTAAGTTCATTTTCCAAACGAATACAACGTTCTTCCTCTTCTTCGCTTATTTTAGGTCGCTTTTCCTCTTCGTCACAAAGATCATTCTTTAGTTCTTCTAACTGTGCATCTAGCGCTGTAATACCGTGTAGACCACAACGTTTGTAAATAAGCACATCACAAGTCTGCTGTTTCAGATTATATAGATCATCATCTAATTGTTTGTCCCAGAGCTTAAAGCCTTCTTCGGAATTTTGTAAAACTAGTGCTGTAAAATCCGCATCTGGCGATTCTTGCATGAACGAACTTTGCGTTATAGTTTTTGGATCCTCAAATTCAAATTCCATATTATTTCTTTCATCCTCATCATGGGGTGGCACAAAATCCATTAAGAAGTCAAATAGTTGAATTACAAATCCAAATGAGTGTGTAGTATTTGGCGTCTTTAACCATGACTTATTTACTTGATGTGGATATTGTAGTTTTTGCATTATATTTATAATATCATCGATATAATTATTGCCCACAGTGAAACGTGTACCCCAGATATAGTGAAGAAAATGATTGATTATTCCTATAAATTGTTTAGTTGACATTTGACGTAGACAACCGCTACGCGCGAAAAATTCAGTTGGTAGTCCGTGTACGGCACCAGGCTTGACTGTTTCTCTCAAATGTTCCGTAATCTGTTGGGCTCTCTCCTGTACCCATTTCTTGTCATTATGAGCATTTCGCTGTTTTTCGGCAGTGAAGAGTACACGCGTTGTAGCCTTACTAATTGAAATTGGGGTTTTTTGTGGTGTGGTGCGACTACTCCGCAGCGCAGATCCTGGAATACCCAATGTTTGACGCTCCACCGAAGAAGGTCGCGCAATGCGATTTGCTTTGGTGGCGTACTTGTTTGCAGTGCTGGGCGCTTCCGTAATTCCAATGTTTTGCGTTTGCTTTTGAGGTGTGATTCTACTGCCGCGATTCGCTGAGCTGGTTAGCCCCAAAGTTTGACGATCTATTGAGTGTGGGCGTGCTATCCGACTTAGACGCATTTGCGTGCTCCTTAAATGTAAACGAGTAAATCTTTATAGAGTAAAAAATTATTATAACAATTTTAACTAACCGAGAATTCCGTTTTGTTGCTGTACCAGGTTCATCATGGAATTCTGAAGTACGTCGTGGATGCTGCATTGTGATGTTTTCAATTACACTTCTTTATGGTGATTAAATATTAAGCACTTCAATATTTCTTAGATTACAATTATTTATATTGGGGGTAATCCTTTCACAAATGTCGCATTAAAGTATACGATTTATTTCTTAAATATTTATACTTGTAAGCTAATTTAGTTGATTAAATGGCAAATTGGAGAATTAAATAAATACAACACTAAATCGTTGATGTATATGGCAATATGTTGTAAATAAAAGCCTTTAAATTTATCAAACCTACTTAATCGAATTGGACAGACGTTATTAGTATTTCGCGCACTTCACAATTTATATTGAACGAGTCTCGAATGAAATATCAACCTTGGCCGCGGTACAGTACGAACAAAAAGCTAAATATATTTCAATAAGTACAGAGTGGTCTTATGTACATATTAAACAAGTTTTTTCGTTATTATTAATTAATAAATTTTTAAACAAAATTTAACAATTTTAATAGATTAATTTTAATAAACTGTACATTTATCCATTTCAAAGGTGCAATCAGCAATTGCGTCTTCTCAACAGATTTACAAATAATGCATTAAAAAATAATTGAATTAATATTTGAAGTGAAATTTTTATTTAATTTGTAATTCCGAACATTAAAATATTTTTTTAAATTTTTTATCTCAAATACCGGTTTGAAAATAAAATTAATCTCGGTTACCGGAATTAAATAAAAATAAGTAAATCCCAAACCTATAATTATAAATTAAACAAAGAAATTGTTTTAAAGTGTAAATTTTTTCACGTTTGCATGCTTCGTTTTCTACCACTTTGGTTTTCTTTTGAAAAGCAAAGCTTATTTTTATTAAAATGTCAACATAGTTTAGCTTACAGAAAAATAATTCCTTCAACCCCCAAAAGAGTAACGAGCACCAAGGCTTTTTTGAAACATTTTATTTCTCAATTTATTTATATTTTTTTATTTGGTTGTTTACTTACAAATTATTTTTCTAGATAATTCTTATGTAAATAAAAATTATTACATAATATAAAGTAATTAAAAAGTAACGTACACAATTTACAATTTCTATTATAAAAATAATTTTTTAATATCGATCACATTTCCCATAAAAATCTGCTCGCGGCTACATGTACACGTAGCATGTAAATTTAACTCGAATGCCATTATAATTACATAATAATAATAAAAAATATAAATTAAATTACTAAATACGTATATGTTTAATTAAGTATGGGAACATTGGAGAATAGCTTTTACTTTGAAAGTTGCAAGTAAAAATTTAACACAACATTTTACAGTTATTTAAATAAATTTTAAGCTGTTTAACTACATAACTGTTTAGTTTTGGAACACAAATACTTGTTTACTTTTTATCTTTATCTACACTATAAGTTATTATCTAACAAATTCTGCCGCACAATAAAAATCATAATTCTATGCATAAATTCTTAATTCTTAAGTGAGCATTAGAATTTGCATGCTCACAAGCAATATATTGTGTACAGATTTACAAAAATGGAATCTGTGTTTTTTGGCGATATTATTTATTTTTGAATATGTTAAATTAATTTAATACTATTTTGAATTAAAGAATTACAACCATTTGCTGCAATTGGAAAGTGGCATATAACAAGCATTTACATTTTAACCGGTGGTTTAGGGTAATGTGTGTAAGAATGTGTTACAAATGGTTGCAATGTAGAACAAAAAGCAAACACAATATGAAAAAATAAAAAAATAAATAAAAAATAAGTAAAAAAATGTAATAAATAATAATAAAAAAATTTAATAAATAATAATAAAAAAATTTAATAAAAATAAAAAATATAAAAATAATAATAAAACCAAACAATATCAATTTAAAGCCTTTCAAACATGCCGTTTGTTTAAGTTTCACGTTCTTCACTTATTAGGTAATAATTGAGTTGTTTTATGTATGTTTTTTTCGTTTTGCATTTTAACAAGGTGTAATGAACTAAGTACTAATTTATTTGACTGTATTGCATTGTTTCAATTAAACAAACTCAAGCTAGTTTACGAAACATTATTAAAAATCCCACTTGTCGTTATTAATTACACATATTATGCTTATTTTATGAATATTTGGTTATTAAATGGTATTTCTTTATTTATGACACTTTTTGTGTAGTAATTCTTTTTTTACGCATATAATTATTAACAATATTATTGTATTGATCTGCAACGCTGCCGAGAAAACGAGTTTATAATTGCATTTGTAGAATATACTACACCGCCATACATACATACATTTTGGTGTAAGCATCTACAAATATACATATATTATATGTTTTTAATACTATCTGTATGCAAGTCTTTTCACAATTGAATACAATACATATGTATGTGTATGATTTGGTTTGCGTTTTAGGCGTTACATTTTGAATTCCAGCAAATTTCAAAACTCGATTTTTTTTTTATATCTTTGCCATTCATATAAATTCGCTCATAATTCGTTTAACCTACCCGTATATACACACATACTTGCCTTGCTATTGTTTTTTTGTTTTGTTATCTTCTGCTTATAAATTGTTTTCATTTCTACATATTTTTTACAGTTATTACAAATATTCGGACTTGCAGTTTGTTTCATTTGTACCCCTTTCGTTTTCATATTTTCTACCCCAAAGTTCCACTTTTCGTTTTAAAATTATAAATATTGAAAATTAATAATATTTAATAACTTTTTACATAAATACACATACTTATATTAAAATCATCGATTTTTAACGTTTTAATGTTATTTTATTTTTTCATGTTTTATTTTATAAGGTTATTATTTATGGCTTGGCTTAAAAAAATAAATTAATGCTCTTTAGGTACGTACTGAAGGTTGGTAGGTAAATATATGCATTTTGTTGCTGCTTTACCACGCTTCGGCTTGGGAAACTGTTCATGTTCTTCTTTTCAATAATTTTTCGTTTATCACTTTAAAGCCTTTCATTTAATTGTTGTGTTTTGTGTTTTATTTTAAACGTTGAAGCCTCACACCCCTCTCTCCTTTATTAACATGTGTATGTAATTTATTTGGGGCGCTTATTTTCTCGCTCTCAGTTCGAGGCATTAAGTTCATTTAGTTCGGTGCCGTATTCTTGATTAATCGAAAGCAGGAAGAAGAAAGACAGCGCTAATAAACTTGAACCCAGCAAATCGCCCAGCGCAGTCAGATAAGGAATCGATGAGTTATCGGGATCGATTTTCCATTTCCACATTGCATGTACAATAACGTGGGCAATATACAGCAGTAACATAACCTAAAATCATATCAAAATATTAATAAAGTTAAGTATTGCGAGATTATATAATTTAATTAAAAACAAGAAAAATAGTCAACTTCGGTTATATAGTATATACCCTTTACAAATAAAGAATTTTCTATACAAGAACTTGATTTTGATCGTTCAGTTTGGCAGCTATATGATATAGTGGTCCGACCTTAACAATTCGTTCGGAGACTACAAGTATAGCGTTGCCTTAGGTAATATTTAATCTCAAATTTCGAGAAGATATCTCGTCAAATAAAAAACTTTTCATACAAGAACTTGATTTAGATCGGTCAGTTTGCATGGCAGCTATAGCCTATTGGGGTCTGATATCGGCGATATCTCAAAAATTAGAAATTTATGTACGGATACAAAAATTCACATTTCTTCTTAACAGCTATTATGTCATCTTTTTTTTGTCGCAGAACCTAATTATTTGTACCTTACTTTCTAGCTCTGGAACTATCACCAATATTTAGGTGAGGTTAGGTTAGGTCTTGGGGTTGATCTTCGTGCCAAAGGTAGCGCGGAATCTCACTTGGACAGCTCGGTTCTTTGTGATACCAAAAAACTCCTTAAAATGGATCACCTGACCCTCATAAATCGACGAAGCGTTTTGAGATTACCATTAATTTGTTAAGGCGGTTAATACAATTATAAATTTCAGCCACTCATATATATTTTCATCTCAGCCTGGCAAAATCTAGGCAGTAGAGAAGAAAGTGCCTAGATGACTCCACGTCGAATGCCTCCACATAGATTTGGCAAAAAGCGTCGTACAAATTATTTAGCCGCACCGCGTTAAAGCCTATTGGACTTGTGTAGTCAGAGCACCTAAAATTGCGGCGAAACGAAATGTGCTAAGGGCAAGTAGTTCAGGGGACCTATTCGGTTCACTCTGGGCTAGCAGGATCTCGCAGCCGCATGAGTTCTGATTGTTGACCAGCGCTTGCCGAGCTCACGGGAGGTCCATAGATCCAGCGCTAGAGCGGGAGAGGACAACGGAGTAGCGACCGTTTTCAATCAAATGATATTTGGGTAAGCGTGTACTCTCTAGTAAGCTTATGTGCTTCTGGCGATTCTGCTGTGACCGGACACTCAAAAAAGTCTAATACGGAAGGAGTGTGATGCATTTGCTAATGAGGTCATGCACATCTTGACTAGCTTTCGGTTGAAATCAGGGCTGGTTATCAATGTATTCCGACGCCTGAATATGTGCTGTTGACACTTTAAAAAATGGGGAGTTAATGTCGAGACTGCCTTCGTCTTGATAAAACCCTGTCAGGCCTCAGACTACGTTCCTCTTCCGTTAACATTATGTTGATCTGGTAGGTATAGGTTATGATATTTGAATACAATTTTCTAATAATCTAGTGATATGAGCTTTCGATTCATGAATGCTTTTTGCGAATGACTAAAGGTTAAAACCCCTTTTAGTGCTATTTGGGAGGCACTGTTGTATGTTAGAATGTATTGCGTAAAAGTCTTTGATTGCGATTTTTAGCCAGATTGATGCTACGCAGACAATCAGTTTGCAATATAAGTCTGCTAGTTTCAGATGAACTTACAAAGCATTAACATCCTGACCAATCTGTTGAAGTCTCTGTAACATAATTTCTAATTTTTGTCAACTGAGCGAACCAAACTTAATAATTAATAAAAATTTATGTAAAATAAATAAACGATTATTTCTGTGCTAACCTGAATTAAACTCGCCGTCAGATAAGATAAAACGAAAGCAAGAGTAACCGTGGACGTGGACATGTGTATGTAATCGGCAGCAAACACGAACGCAATATTACCGGGAATTGACATGCCAAGGAGTATGCGCGCCGTTTTAGCATATGGAACTGAAAAGTAGGGAAACATTTTGTTAGATATACATACATACATATTTATTATTAATTTAATGTGCTGTTTCTAAGGAATAAGAGTAAAAAAGTAAAAAAAAAAACTAACAAAAATAATAATTATGGTTTATATAATAAACAAAATAATATATATTCGTTTTAAAAAATTAATAAATATTACAATGCATAAAATTCGCAAGAAAAAAATTGTTAGTATCAAATAAATGTGACCTATAAAAATTGGAACTGATCGATAGTTTCACTACAAACGAAAATAATGTAACTGACATAATTTGGTTTCAAAACGATATACATAACTGTAATGATTAAAAAAAAAATGGAAGTTTTTCAAAACATTCGCGTATGTATATAAATATAGCGTTGCTTAGAATTCTTTAAATAACGCATTTAATAATTGTAAATAACAATCCGTGAATTTTAAATGAATATAAAGCAAAACATTTTCAACCAACCTCCTTTGAACAGTGCTTTCCATGGCCATTCGAAAATCTTCGTATGTGGTGGTATAATGCCAATAATTGAGCTTTGGTGCAGCATTGTTGAGATTTTACTCGCTTGCACCGATACCAAATTACCACCAATACCGTTAATAATTGGTTGAAATACGACGAATCCGTTGAATATTTCTACAGAGGCATCGAGCACAAGACCGCCGAGGCTGAAAAGGAAAATGCAAAAAGAAATTATATAAAATAATTATTTCCATTCATCAAAAAAATAATAATTATAAATTAATGAGAAATAAGAAGTGCAAAACAATTCCAAAGGAAATGTTGCGTATACGTCATGGAGGTTGACTTTTGTTGTAATCTCTAATTTTGAAGAGTGTTTTCATTCTCTTCTTGAATATAAGCTTCAGATCTATTAAGCTTACGTAAATACTATTCACAAGTAGACACTTATTGGCAACTTTTTGAATAATGAATTTATTTGTATTTATTTTTTGCTATACATTTTAAAAATGCTACTCCAAATGAGTGTCAGATGTTGTCAGGTTTTTTGCGAAATTTAAGAATACGTTAATATACTTGTAAGTGCCTGACGTCAATTCCAGTTAACCATGCTCGTAAGTTTTCGAGCATGATTTTTTGATTGTTGACTTTCTTTTTCATCAAATTACAGAGTGTTTTTTGGTCGAAAGTGTATTTAAATTATTTTAAGTGCCTCTGAGCAAAGTTCTATTTTAAATTTATGACCTGAAAGCTACAAAGCTGAACCGCTTTTTTATTTAATTTTCTACTTTTTTCGTTGTTTTTGGTGTTGTTTTAAGTATTTAGGCATGCGTTTAAGCTTGCTATGAATGTAATTAGAAAAGTTCGTTAACATTTTTTGTTTTTAAACAAAATTTATTTCCTTGTTGGTGATTCAGTGCGATTTGGTAGCGATTTGGAAATTATTTAATTTTATTTTTTTTTTAATATAATAGTTTGTGAGTATATGTAAATCTAGAAGTACACTAAAGTTTTACCTAAAACAAAGCGGAAGTTTGCTTATTATTTGCATCTAAGGTAGATATAATTCGTATTATATTAGTACTTTATATATCGTTTAGAACGGATAGCTTTTTCTCCTTAGTCCTTTTGAAGCTGATTTCAACAAATGCAGAATATTAATGTGTTACCATCTGATCAAATTTGACCCGTACTAACGAAAAACTATATTTTCTCATATTTTAATACAAATCTTTATTATCGCCTTCAAAAAAAGCCCTCATCCCATACAAGCATTCCAACGTGTGATCTAATTTTCCATACATTTATTATAAGCCTCGGCTAAGATGACCTTTAGTGCCTTTTGTGAATTTTGGTTTTTTCGACAATTTTTTTATTGTTTCGGTTTCGAAGTTTAAATGGACATTTGATCGGATATATGTAAGTACCAGTAATTCAAACATTTTGGATTAATAATTAAATTGTTATTTTTTAATCCCGATGTTGGGATTAATAATTCAATTTTCCTTTTTGAATTAAAAATTAAAAAATGTAATTTTTTTATTATTATAAATAAAGAACGGAAACGCGGAAAAATGTTAATTCTTAAACAATTTCATTTTTAAATTCCTAATTATATGCTTTGAATTAAAATTTTTATTTTTTATTTTTTTATTTATTTACTGTATGTAGGTGGGATTAAATATTTATATTTTTAATCTCGTATTTGGGATAACAAAAAAAAATATTAATAATTCAATTATTTTTTTCAATGCATTATTTGCAACCCTGGTTGAATTCTAATATATTAATTTTATATAATTACGAAAAATTTTTAAAGATGCACTATTATTAAGTTTATGCTTTCAAATTATATATGCTTTGCTTTGAGCCAAAATAAAAATGCGCTTTTTCTGCTTTTTTTGTATGAATTAATTAAGTGTAGTTAGAGTTTTTATGCGGAAAACAATTCAGTGCAGAATTTGGTTTTAACTATATTATGCTTATAAGCAAAATATAAAAAGTATACAAATATATTTGTCTATATTATTACTCACCCACTTATACACAACGCAGATAGTACCGGCACCCAGCCACTCTTCAATACCGGACGAGTATATTTATTTTTGAGCACAATAGCAACCCACATGGGTAAAAGCACTAAATAACAAGCGACTATAACAAATGTGATCCATAAATGAGTTTCTGTAGTAAATAAAATAAATAAAAACAGTTAAAAATATAGTTTTCTTTTTCAGTAAAGCAATATCTATGAGCAGTAAATTTTTACTCACTTATGTGATCGAATAGTATTGAAGCAATAAAGGAGAGCATGCTTATTGAAACGACATCACCAATAGATGCCGCTAACGGTGTTGCCAAGTTATCAGGATTTAAATGGAATTTCTCAGACAATAATATCACAGCCACTAATACAAAATCTGCAAAGAAGAAAAATTATTTGTTAATAGTTATTAAAAATACCAAAAGTCGAAAACTTGCTTAGTGAATATATAAGGATATATTTTTAATATTATATTCTTTATTTTAATCAATTACCTAATACAAAGCACGATGAGGTCGCCGTAAACATAGCGGACGCGATCAGCAGCATAACATGTTCAAAAAAGAATGTACCATCCATCGCCAAACCAACAACAATGGCAAATATTGCAACCAAAAAGGACGCAACCGTCGCCTGCACTTGGACCAATGCTATATTGCCGACAATCATACGGATGACTTCCTTGCGTGAGGTCATATTACCCAAATTAACCTGTGTGGAGAGACGTGATGCGAGGCACATATCGAGATTGCCCTTGAGGCCAAGTAGTGACGGCACGAGTATGAATAGTTCGCTGATCTCTTTGAAAACACGCCATTTCTACGTAGCATATGTGAACGGCATAAGAAATTGCAAAAAAATACAAAAATCAATTTATTAGTAATCTATGTTACCGTGTGTAAATATACCTATATGCACACATGTTTGTATATCTGTATAAATTTGTGATAGCAAGAAATGAAGAAGGCAATTAAAACGTTGTAAGCAAAATAGTTGAAATGTAAAACACGTAAATGTTATACACTCATTTATAAATAAAACGTTGATCAACATTGCCATCGAAACTAAAAGTATTATTTATACTTATGCTTTTGTGTTTGTCCCTTTATTTTACTGCATCGGTATTTCAAAATTATAAAAACATTTATGTAAATCCATAGGCGACAATAAAGTTTTTCTTATCTTAAAAACAAAACAAAAAAACAACAAGAAAAAACGTAAACTTCGTCTGTATTGAAGCTATAATACCCTTCAAAGGTGCAGTTTTTGTACCATAAAAGGATATAAAAAGACCTTTCACTTGATTTTGGTAAATGAATCGGTAAATTTTTATGTCAATTATATGCTAAAGTACGGGATGCGATCTGAACAACCTGTTCGTATATTACAGCATTGCCTTGGCGCATAAACCATGCCAAATTCGGTGAAAATATCTTGTCAAATAAAAAAGTCTTAGACATAAGGATTTCATTTTGATCGGTCGGTTTGTTCGACCTCTATATGCTATAGTGGTTCGATATCGGCGGTTTCAACAAATAAAAAGCTTTTTTTGGAGAAAAAAGAACGTGAGCAAAATTTCAGATCGATATTTATTTTATCTCTAGTTAACACTGAGTGACTAGTTCGCATATATACAGACAGACGGAAATGGTTAAATGAACTCAGGTCGTCACACTGATTATTTATATGTATACGTTAAAAGGGCTTCGACGTTTCCTTCGGTGGGGTTACAAACTTTGTGGTAAACTTAATATACCGAGTTCAGGGTATAAAAATACTTATCTAAGCATACGAGTATAAATGTAATTGGTCATTTTATGAAACACTTTGTTTGCCTTTAAAATGCGTCAACAGCTTTAATCTAGGAGATAAAATATGAGTATACAATAGTTATCGAATCATATACAAGTAGTAGCGAAAAGAATAAATGAGCTTTCAGCATTTTCAAATTCTTCGTTGTACTAAAGTAAAAATTCGTCTAAAGAGAAGCTTGTGAAAATCGACTGTACCACCTTATTGTTAATAGAGACAAGGGTTTCTATGAGAGTGGCCATATGAAAGTACCTTCACATTGGCAATAATACACATAATACACTGCGTATTATACGGTGTATATTTGACATAAATCGGATCACATTCCAACTATGCTACACGCAATCTTCAATTTAACGTAAAAATAATTGATTTATTTGTACTATACCTTATATATAACAATTCACAATGTCTTTGAAATCTAGTAACTAAATTTGCAATCGAATAATGGTTGCTGCTTAGTTAGTGAGTTGTACAGTCAAAGCTTCTTAATAAGGACATTCTCATGACATAAACTACTAAACTTGAAATTATCATATGCTTATGTTATTTATGGACTCTTGATTTATGTATTCCATTGGCAGCTTTTTGCTCAATTACCAGATGATGGTTTTATTATTCTTATGTGTATCTATATAAATACAACTTTAGCCTACACAATATGAAATTTTAATCATTTTAAGTTTTAATTGCATAGGGAAATGTAATTTCTCAGTTCTCACAGACGATTTATTTAAAATGTATTGAAATTTAATTTAATTTGAAGTAGTATCTAGAACTTTCTTGTGATTTTTGTGCCTGATGTGTCTCAATCTGTAATTTAATTTTACCGAGAGGGCGCGCTATTCCTCAAAAACATGATTACATTTTAATGGTATATTTTTAAATATATAAAATCAAAGTAGAAGCTCAAGAAATTTTGTGAATTTATTTATATATGGAAAGCAAATGTGAAAGACAATATCAAATTACAATATATGTTATTCTACAATATATAACTGTACTGTATAGAAAGAGGCTGGTTTGTATTAAACCGAATATACTCATTCTTTATGTTACGCATAGTATTGTATTATTTATTTAATTGGCTCAAGTTTTGGTTCCTTATTTTTTAGAATTTTCTTAATAGAACTGCGTATTTATTTAAATTTTCTCCAATTTTTGATCATTGTCTATTATTAGGTGTGATTAAATATAAAACTACGTTTGATGTACTCAAATAATTAAGTGTCAACCAAAATGACTCAAGTTTTAATACAATTTCGCACCTTCTATTGTAGTGAATGCAAATTGATGTCAATTTCACGCCTACTGCACACAAATGCTAAGCCCATATATAAATTTTGGAGAAATTAGTGACAATAAGTATTTTCTAAAAATATATGCGATGATGTCTGCAACGACAACAAATATATTTATTTAAATTTTCAGAAGTGTTTAGCACAAACAACAATTTAGTTAAATGTTTATCAGTCCTTTACACCTTAATAAATTGGTGGGAACGCGCTTTGTGCAAATGTTTGATAAATCCTTAACGGAATATTCCACTCGCTAAATAAAGTCAAGTACAAATATGAGTACAGAATTTTATTTATTTAACATTTTAGCATGCCGTAATGAAAATGTCAGTAAGCAAATTTATATTAACACACATAATTTGATGTGGCGCAATCTCTGACAATAACACAATTAGTTAGGACAATAAAGAGGAAAAGCGTAGAAAATAGTCAAATAAAAACGAATCAGTGTGACGAGACTTAAAAAAAATATTTATTGTATACTAGCATGCCTGTATATATTATATTTGACGCCTATTGCAGTCATTAAATGAGTCTCAAACATGCAAAGGTGGTGTTTTTAAAGATAAAGTGTCGACTCGTTCTCTAGATATATAAATAAATATAGTTTAGGGTATATATGTATTTATATGTGTGCAAGAGAGTTTTAATTTCACAGCTGCTGTAACATGAATATATTATTTTCATCAATTTTAATTTTAATTACTGCAATTGCATTCAATGCATGTTTATTTTAATTTTTCACATTTTTTTGGGGATTTTTATTTTGGTGCAACCTAGGCGTTGAAGTAGCAACGTTGTTTTTGCTGATGGGGACTTACACGAGTTAAATAATGGGATAAAAAGTCAAATCGGTCATAATGTGGTAATAATCCCAAATATTTGCACATTTAGCTGGCTGACTTTTAAAAAGGAAACCTTGTTTATCTGGACAGGGTTACCAAGTGTTTTTGACTGGATCAAAAGTGTTCTTTTTAAAGAGACGGAATTTTATTAATACTTGTACTAGTATATTAGGAAAGAGTACCATATTTATTGAACTTGTATATGCAAAAATTGTCGGAATTCCTGAAAAAAAAGTCTTGCCAACCACATAAATAGGGAAAGCTTTCACCATATTTAGGATTTTACCGCCGTAATACTCAGTTTACGATATACACATTTTTTGTTGTCTGAATTCATCAACGGTAACTAGAAGTATACCAAATATATACTATATATCGCCATTTTCAACAATATTAAGTTACTAACACTCATCGACACTTTTCTACTTAAACTTGAATTTCAAATCTTTTGACAAAAATAATTTTACTGGTACATTTCAACTGCGGGCGCAAACCGAATCGATACAATTTTTTTTCCTAGATTGATACAACCTTGTTTTATATTCGTGGGAAGTTTGTTTACAATATGTCAATTAGTGTCTGTCCGGCAGCTGTTTATTTACGACGCGAAAAGTTAGGTTAACAATTGGACCATGAAAAAAGTGAAAAAGCTTGAAAATCGTTGGTTTGGCATCAGAGATATAGCAGAGGATCTCAACATCTCTAAAGGAACAACTCAACACATTTTGGTTCATGTTTTCGATATGAAGCATGTCAGTGCTATACACGTTTTAGAAAATACGTCAAGTAGAGGTCACAAAAGTTGACAATGTTTGAAAACGTAGCTGAAGGCCCTACATTCATCAAACGCATCATTACTGGTGACGAGACGTGGATTTATGAATATGATGTGGAAACTCTTCAACAATTAAGCGATTGGCGCTGCGACGCTCTGAGCCGATAACGAAAAAACTATGTTAAAGTCGGCCAAAAATGAAGGTGGTGCTCATCGGTTTCATTTATTACCGTGATGTGGTTCTCCGTGAATTCATTTCACAAACTATCAATCGAGACTTCGTTTTGTGGGAAGAGAATTCATGGACTTTTCACCATGATAATGTGCCGTCACATTTTAGCATGATTGTGGCAAAATCGGGCAAAATCGAAACGAAAAACATCGCTTAGTCATTAAAAGTCATTCGCCGAAGGCAAAGCTTTTAACATGTGTAAAGGAAATTAGATTAAGCACTGACATGCTTGTGTTGGCTCCAAAAGAAAGACTAGTTTAAAGGCGATAAATAAATGTGTATGAAAATGCGTGAAATTTCTTTTGTCAGTCCGGGTGAAATTTAATCAGATGGTGTTGTATATAACTAAGTGTATGAAACGTATTTTTTCAATAATGGTCTTATATATATATATTATATATACAATATATATATTTTTTAATTGTAAGGAAGTAAGGCAAAAATATATAAACCACGCTAAAGTAACGTGGAAGTATTTTATTTTTATTTTAAGCTTGTTTCTATAGGTTTATAGGTCACTTTACTGCTATTAAGCAGTATCTGGTCCAAAGCGGATAGAATATGCATGATACGATGAACATAGATTTATACACTGCCACCACTGGCCTATTTTGCCTTAAATGGATAAACACATACGTGACTAGTATGTATAAGATATAAATGGGTGAAAACTGACTTATAAAAATTAAATTTAATTACCTAAATAAATTATAAAAATTAAATATTCGCTGCATAAAAATAGACGCAAATAGAATATAATATTGTAATTTTCACAAAAATTTACTCTTGCCTACTAACTGTTTATGAAGTTCTCTCTTCTTCGTTGAAGAAAATTATCGCACATTTAAATATTGCTATTTTTGTTATAGTTGTAATATAGGAATAATTACATTGTCTACACAGGCGATTACAGAATTGTTATCGCATCTTTTAATCGTAATCAAAATGCACAAAATGACTGCGCATTTGAATTGAAAAATCGTAATACAAAACAAAAAAACGAAAAACAATTGAAATATGCTTATCATATTTGACATCTTTATGAACATGTATGTAATTAAAAAAATTGAATTTAGTTGGCAGTCGCGTGACAATGTCATTTTTCTCACCTAACATACACAATAGTTAAAAATTACTATTAGAATTTTACTTGCAATACCACATAGTTACACTAACTACAAATATATGTAATAATATGTGAAATTTCTTTGACTCACCTCTACACGGCCGAGCACAATACCCGCACCGATTGTGCCAACACCAGCCAAAAAGAACGGTATCGACACTTGCAATAATATTGATGACCATTTCTCCTGCTTAATACCCGGTCGATTTAATGCCAACTTCTCATCACTGCTACCAGGCACACCGGCAATACTGCTCGCATCTAACGCGCCAATACTGCTACCGCCACCTCCACCACCACCGCCGCTACCGCCTCCGCTACCACGACCACCACCACCCGTGCCAGGATCTGGTTCTGAGGATGCTATGGACGTCGTGATGATTGAGCTTAGTGAACCAGTCGTCGATTGTGGGAGACCGGACAACTTGTCATTGTCGGTGTCTGTAAACGAGTAGTGTAAACAAGAAGAAATGTGGGGGAAGAGACAAAGGAGAACAAACGATATTAAGTCAAAGTTGTGAATTTACATTTTTATCGCGATAAGTGAACATGTGCATAGCAAAAGTAGTCATAAAAAAATTGTATATAATTAAAGATATTTAAATATATAATTTCACATTACTAAAGTGCATACTTGTAAATATTTATTTAAATCAAATTGAGGAGAAAAATTACACCGTGCATAGATAAATAAGGCTCTACGAAGCACACCAAAAGTTTACCCAACCGCGTATCTCACACACAAACATACAAAATGGGTATAAAAGTATTTATGTGAGTAGATTTTCGAGTTCAAATACTTTATATTTAACAATTTCACTTATTCACGTTTATCGATAAAATAAATGCCTAGACTTTTGCCGATGCTCTGAGTCACGCGAAAGTTTAATTAGTTGTACCAGATAATCAACTTACATGACAATAGTAACAAAATATAAACAGTTACATGGACTGAAATTCTTATTACGTAAATAGAAAATTGCGTAAGAATGGAAAAACGACTTATTTGCTAAAAGAAATAATGGTTTTACAAATATATGTTGGAGGTTGAATCACACCTTTACATTATACTTGTATTTATAATTTGTTAAAAATCGCTATTTAAATGAAAAACAAGAAAAAACATTAACTTCAACTACACCGTAGCTACAATAATCTTCACAGCTGCATTTCTTATAGCATAAATGTGAATAAAAAGATCTTTATCTTGATTTTGATAGGTCAGTTTGTATGACACTACCGTTGGAGAGTAGCGAATCGAACGAATTGTGCTACGATTTTTTCTTGGTGGAGAAATTATTCTTTTCGCGTCAAACTAGTAACTATTATAATATTTTTATTTGTCATTTGAGCCATTCGCAATAGTAAAATTAATCAACGATATGCAAAACAAAACTGGGTAGCATTGAAGATAGTTGTTATACCACTTTAACGAGGTATCCGCATACTCTCTTCTATGATAACTTTGTTGATGTTATTAAATGCAATTTTTTTTAACAAGAGCAGGGCGTTAATTAGCGATCAGAAAAATTGTGTTCGAAGGACAGCTAATTTCATCTATGTCAAAAGCATAATAAAGATTTAATTAGTCGAATTTATGAACACTCTTAATAGAAGTTTTACGAAATCGACGTTTTCTTTCATTAAGTTGTAAGGACTAGAAATAACAAAAATTCCCTAGTAAAATAATATATTTTTGTTGTTGTAAATAACTGAGTTTATGTGGCAGAACGTACACAATGTACAATCCAAAACACTGCATGCAAAATATTGTAAAAAAGTCTGAAAATTTGGAAACAAAACATAATTTTATAATTTATAGTAATTCTCGTTATTTCAGAAGCCTTAAAAAAAAGTGACACATGATATCAAAATAATTAAATAATTTAGTACGAAAAAATTCTGAGACATTGTATATAATACATACAAATGTGCGTATAGCTGTTTGTTTGTGATTACTTAAAACATAGATAGATATAAAAGATAAAACTTCTGAAATTAATATACATATTTATTAACTTAATTCCGAATATTTCCGCTAAATGTCGATCTCTTTAGCTCATTATTTCTTTTTTAAAATCAATGTGATATATAAATTTACGGGTGCTTTGTCTCAGTTTTGAAATTACTTTGGGATGTGATTAACAAGTGACTTTTTTCGGTATAAATATAATAAAAAAAAAAACTGTGGACCATAAAGCTAGTTAGTTTTTGATAGGAAGGAAAGTGAAGTAAAAAAGAGTAAAGTTCACTAATAATATAAGAAGGTTGCAAAGAAGAAATGAAAAATAGTATTATAGTTAAAGAAGGGGACAACATTTGTTTAAGTACATTACATACAAATATAGATAGATAGAATAAGTAGAAGAAGCAAAAAATACATAATAATGAATAGCAAGATTTTTGGTGTTTTCTCATCATATTGTTTGTGTGTTGTTGTTGTTCTTGTTAACATTTGTGTTTATGCAACTCACCATTTCCATAAATTGTATATAATCTATATTTATCATCATGTTGCTGAACTTTTTGCAATTGTTGCTCTTGTTGTTGTGCTATTGGTGGTGGCAAGGGTTGTGGCAATGGCGCTGTCAGTGACAATGGCAATGTATATCGATAGTGTCCATGTGGTGCGCCATTGTTATTGGTGTAGTATGGTGTGTTGTCATTCTTATTGTTTTTGTTGATGTTATTGTTGCTATTATTTCTTAAAACTAATTCATCAGTGTTATTGGTGTGTTTAGTGTTCACTGTATTTGGATTTGGATTTTGTGTGGCAGAAATGAATTCCATGCTATCGCAGATATTAGTTGTTGCCGTTTGTGGTGTTGGCGGCGTTTGGAAAGCATCATTGCTGATACCGGCATCGGCTAATTTCAAATAATCGTCATCATTGCTGTTGGTCATTAAAGACAAATGCGGCTGTGCTTGCTTCTTACTCGGCGACGGCATTTTGTGTTCGTTGTTTTGGTTTTTTGTTTGTTATTTATATTTTTATATATTATGTTTGTTTTAAAGAGTTTATATAACAATAAGTGCTACTAAAATCTGTGTGAATTTTCGAGACAAGAATTGAAATCTCTGCACATCTTCATATGCTTAAATAAGTTTGTTGCTAACTTTTTTGAAAAATAAGTTTAATTAATATAATTAAATTACTTTCAATAATTTGTAAATTATTTTAAGATATTTTCAAACTGCAAGTCAGTTTAAGTAAAGAGACACTGAAAGTCTTGCACTTATTTTATATATAACAATTTTAATTAACTAGAATACAGAGGCAAATATTTTTTAATAGAAATTAATTTTAATTTTACTAAAAAATTCTGCTGCTATAAAGTTTTGTGTACCAATTATTTAATTGTACAAATGAAACTCAAAGCGCCAATTTTTAGAAACTATTTTGTTTTATAAAAAACAACATATATTGTACGATTTTTATCTGGACTTAATTTTTTACATACTTTTTGACGCTTTGGATTCAATATTTTTTGTTTACTTTTAAAAATTAATACTAAATTACAAATGAAAACAACAATATCACACACAGTTAATTTTTTTTTTTAATTAACAAAATTTGTTAACAATAAGTCAAAATATAAATGCTAAATTATTTTGGAAATTTTATAAATTTTTATTAATTTATATGGCGTAGGTTTCGTGGGTACAGCAATTAGCTCTGCCAACGTTTGGTTTACATTTTCGTGATGATTTTGTGGGCGTGTCTCTTGCTGCAGATCGTTCGTCGATGATTTTGACAGAGACACGTGTCTTGGAAGCAATTGTAGTTTGAATAGCCGAGTTTTCGTAGATACGCCGTGCTTGTTGTAGCGAATTCTAGTAGCTGCCTTCGTTTTTTTTTAGTTTTTTGGTCTCGCGAAGTATATATTTTACTGCTGTTGTTGTTGGTGTGAGTTTTTGAAATTGTTTGTTAGTGTATACGAAATAAGTAGTGAAAATAGCGAAAACTTGTTGAGTGAAAGAAGTGTTTCGAAAAAATAGTTTACAAGTTGTACAAATCAACGTTTGCTTTTTTATTTTTGTTAGAATTTTCTGTTTTACTGGCTTCTATTCTGTTCGCGAGACAGAAGTGCGCCTTCGGCTTTAGTCACCGGACCGTTGATATGGCTAAAAGAAATAAATCAGAAGCAGAAAAAAAGAAACGTTGGTTTCAGGGGCGACATTTGTTGTTTTACATCACAAAACTCTTCATAAGAGTTTACGCAAATGTTTAAATATGTAAAAATAAAAAAAGTTTGTGCATATTTTAGCTCTTCACAGGATTAATTTTAAATTTCTTTATAAACAATTTTTTGTTGCGTTGTAAGAATGTTGCGTTGAGTTGAAATAAAAAGAATATGGTAAAATAGATATTTGAAAAAAATTTATTAAATAAAAAAAATTGAACGTTGCTCATTATTAGTTTATCTTATTGTTTAGTACTAAAGTTAATGTTTAAAAAATTGAGGGATGTTTTTAGGAATTATAATAAAACTAGAAATTGGGTAAATAGTTCTGAGCTTATTGTCTTATAACAATCGTAGATGCATACTTCATAAAAGCCCGGATTCGAAAATGTTTATTAATGTCTTAAACTTATTATCAGAGTAACTAACTTCAATTGCATATATATAATACTTTAATACTTAAAAAAAAGTTATTTAGTTAATTATATTGTTATTATAATTAAATTAAATAATATGCAATAATACAATATATGTATGATAAAATAACGATAAATAAAATATAATTATGTAAAACCTTAGCGTTTCGATTAAATAATTTGATTTAGAAATTTTATGGATTAAAAAAGTTAAATAACTAAAAAATATAAATTATTAGGCTGTGCTTCTAATTAACAACCAAAAAATGCATGTTGTTGTTGTTGCTGTTGTTGTTTCTTGAATCATTTCTTATATATCACACAGTTTCACAAACCTACACAAGATCTAACGGTATATTAGTTAAGTCTCACCACAAGTCCATGTTTTTACATGAAAATTATATTATGAGAAATTTGCCATGGCTATATAAAACGCCTGCTATTTTCTGATAATTCTAACCAAAAAAAAGTTTACAACAAGTTTTTAATGTTGTGTAGGCAGGGTTGCAAATAATACATTAAAAAAATAATTGAAATATCACTTGAATTAGAAGTTTTTAAATTTGTATTTCCAAATACGAGTTGAAAAAAAAAATTAAAAAAACGTTCATCCCGCATACCGGATTAAAAAATAAAAAATTCCAGTCTCAACAACTGGACAAAAAAGGATTTGCTTTAGAATTAACATTTTTTTTTGCGTTCATTCAAATCAAAAAGTAATTTTTCAATTTTAAATTTTTAATCCCAAACATCTTCAATTAATAATTGAAAATTAAATTTTTAATCCCAACATAGGGATTAAAAAAATTTAAATATAAGTTTTAATCCAAAATTTTTGAATAAAAAACCCCTGAGTGTTGGGTATCTCAGCAGCTCTGCTACCGATTTAATTTTGTTCCTACTTTTGTATTATGTGTTGGTAAGTGCCATAGTCCATATTTGATACTGCTCTTCAGTTACCTTAGTGGAACCTAACAATTATTTGGAAATTCTTAGAATTCAACAATAAATTTAGGTAAGTTAATTGTTTGTAAAAAAATGTTGAGTTTTATTTTTTTTGTCAATATAATGTGCTCATAAATGGTGATTTTTTCGTAAGATATAAGATATAATAAATCAGCACAGTAAAAAATAAGCTCATACATATTATACTTGTATATTAGGGTGTCCGTAATTTCCCAAGTTAATTTTTTTTTGCAAGCGGCCCATGAAGTTTCAGTTTTTGCCCTAAAAACAATGATCCAATGTAAACAAGATCTTTACTGCAAACAATAATCAACTTGGGCAATAATGGACTCGCTAAAGTACAGATGTATGTTTCGTATTGAATTAAAAGCCATCTTGTTCGATAGCACTAATTGTTTTATCCAGATTTTGAATCTTAAAACAGACATCAGCTTATGAGATGACAAATATAATACATGAGTGGAGTGACCTGACTTGAATATTTAAAGGACAAAATATACAGAAACAATAAATATATTATATACCGAATTTGGTTGAAATCGGTTAACCTATATCTAACTCGATTAGTTTTAGTTGATGCAGCTAACCGTTAGGTAAACAAACCTATTATACTCTCGAGCAACATGCGAGAGTATAAAAATTACAATTTCAATTGTCATGCAAATTTGTGCAAAAATTATTTGCAAACACAAATCAGGCTTTTGCACAAATTTCTTAGAATTCAAGATAAGCATTAAATAATTTATTCACACTCATAGTATTACGTATTAAAATTGAGAATTTATTGGTGAAAGCCAATATTTAATAGGTAAAAGGTAGAACTTTCGACATCAAAGGCAAATTTATTAATGAAACGATTTGCAACTAACTAACAGAGCGAGCAACATAACTTTATTGAACGTGAAATCAGTCTATGAATATATATGAAGATGATACTAATTTATACAAATATGGATAAGCGTGAATATATTTCTCAGATACACACGCCGTGTGGATCAAAACGAAGAAGATAACGTAGCTAAAGTAACTGGTTTCAAATTTGCAATTTTTCAAAATTAAAATAACGCGATAGTTTCCATCGCCTACCTACATCTATAGATAGATAGATATAGATATACAGCGTGAAGTGTAAATAACTCTTGTAAACATCTTGAAATTTTCATTAAACGTATTTTTGACGTTATTAACAAAGCATTGGAGAAATAAAAAATATGCAACTAAAATTAAGAGGATGCTTGTTTAATTTAGAATCTCATGCTATTATTTTTCTAAAATAGAAACCATACTTCTATTTATAGACACTTATTTAAAATTATATCACCTTTGACAGATAAAAAAATTGAAAGTTTGAAAATGTATTACGTATTAAAAACAAAATTTATAAATTGAAATATTTTTTAAATAAATTAAGGGGCACACTTTATGTGATAGCCTAAGAAAGACGATTTTTGGGAATTATAAAAAACTGCTGTATCAATTGTTAATATTTTAAAAATTAGAAAAAGGTAAGATTTTTGAAGAAAAAAATTTAATATTTCTTCTCCGACCTTCTTCGTTAAAATAAAACAATGGAGAATTATAAAAATCGTTTTTTTTTTTAATTTAACACTAGATATGCCCTTTAAGTTATACTCATAAATAGTAATAAAATATCAAATAAATTCCATCCACACCACCAGTTGTGACTAGAAAATTATTCCAACCATACTCATATGCACACATATGTCGAGAAATGCGACTGAGATTTCAGAAAGTTTAATTATTTATATGCACCGTTACATAAATGGATCTAGAGTGCTGGGCGAATATATTATAACTGGAGTTAAGTATAAAACAACTATCACTTTCGAGATATCTAATAAATACACATACATTGCAATACTAATATATTCTAAATACATATACATATATTGCAAAAACATCTGAAAAAGATTACCGCTTGCACTCATTCATATGTACATATATGTATATAGCCTTTGCAACAAAAGAGATTAATTGTCACAGTGTCTGTATGTATTTTTATTTATTTTACTTCAATTTGCAATTTATCAAATTCACTTTTTTAAAAGTTACGTTTGAGAAACTTGTTTGCAATTTTACTTGTGCATACCTGTTTCAAAATACCAAGAAAACGATGCTCACTAAATTTATATATACCTACATAAGTACACATACGTTGGTTTAATACTTCATGTGGATTTGTGAGTAAAATTTTTTATACAATCTTAGAAGTATTTATATTTTTACGAATTTACTAGATACTAATAAATTCCAGTAAAAATTTTGAGAAAATAATGTATGTATGAATAATAGTTATCAATTTATTGAAATATTGGCACTTTTAAACTTCCACTTTATGTATATTTGTATATTTGTAAGCCTGTGCTGTTTATCATGCACACATTTTTTGTATAGATATTTTTATTAATTTACGCATTGTGGCAAATTGTGTGAATTAATTATTCCATACAATGATAATTTAAGAAGAAACATAAAAATCGTAGATACTAAACGATTGATAAGCTAACAAAAAATGCTTAAAGAGAAAAGGCAGCCTGAGAGCAAAGGTGAAAAAAATATATTAAGCTGAAACGATGTTAGATTTAAACGAATATAATAGTAAATTAAATATAAATATATATCAGAGCTATGTGAGTATAATTTCTGAAACACACTAATAACTATAAACAAATTTATTTTATCTTAGTAAAATATCAATTAAAAGTCAGAGTAAGCGTTGAAAAACTTGAACTTGAAATTTTCGCTGAAATTCACACTTTTAGTCGCAATTACGCACATACATAAATAATCGCATAACCTATTAAAATATGAATGCAGCTAGACAGATGTACGGATAATAATATTGATATGTCAAGCGTGGAAATATGGACAAAAATGTTGCGATAATTTGCGCAGACAGGTGATATCTTGCAAAGTCAATAACAATTTACTGTCAGATCAATTGGATTTTTATATTTACTTCATTTTAGGTTATGCCAACTATATAATAACCATTATATGTTATATTATGTGCCGATTAGTACAACAGCAACATAAAAAAGTAAGGAAGGGCTAAGTTCGGGGGTAACCGAACTTTTTTGACTCTCGCCACTAACAAGAATCAAAGACTAGGAAACACCTTCAGATGTTGGCAAAACTTTATATTAAACTAGGAAAAGTATCGCCGTAATATCATCAATTTTAGGCGAGAGAAAAAACTGTTATTAAAAAGAGAAATTCAGACAGTACGATTTCTTACATATTGACCGATAGATGAGGTATGAAGTGAACCGGAAGTTCGAAAATATTTATGTTAGATACATGCGGGCTAAGGAAAGTGTTGAGCCGATTTTACTAATTTTTATCAAGACATTTTGACACACAGTGCCCAATAGGATGTTTGGCTAACTTCACATACCAAATTTGGTTGAAATCGGGCGAGTAGTAGAGATATAGAATTTCACCTAAAGGTCGGCGGTGCCACGACCATTGTCCAATCTTTACATCTGCTCCCATAAAGCCCTTCCTTATCATCATGGTGGTGAAATTTAATGCTTGT